AATCAGTGAGCCCTCCTGGCCCCATTCACCTTAGCACATGATACAACCTCGAACTCAGATCTGTTCATCTTTGTATTCTTTGTGCGTAGGTTAAAAGATATACCTTTAAAAAACAAAACCTTAGAAGAATGTGGGGTTTCTAATCTTAGTATTTGGTTATATCTGTAGTTGTATGAATATTAATTTATGAATATTTTTTATTCCAAAATAACATATTTAGTAAGATTTAAGCATATTTTTGCCAATGTAGTAGGTTAATATTCACTGCTGGATGATATTCCATTGTGAATGAAAACAATTTACTCACTCTCCATTGGTGGACATTGGTGGTGTTTTCATCCTTGCCATTATGTATGATGTTACTATGAACATTATTGTATATGTCTCCTAATAAATATGTTCAAGATTTTCTTTTTCCTGAATATCCAGGTTGGATTATCAGCACCACATATAGGTTATAGAAATGTCCAGCTTTATATGATAATGCCAAATTGTTTTCTAAACAGGCATTCTAATTAAGATTTCCACTTGAGTGTATAGGAATTCTTCTTGCTCCATGGTCTTGCTAACACTTATTATTGGCAGCCTTAAAGTTTAACAGATCTCTTGTGGTTTTTTTTATTATATTGTCCTTGGGTATCAGCATTGTTCTAGAATGATAAGACCAGTTGGGAATGTCCCTGGCATTGCTGGGGTCTGGAAACATTTAAGATTAAAATTATCTGTTCTTTTTTCTTTAAAACTCCCTTGTAAACTGTGCCTGAAATTTTCTTACTGGGAAGTTTTTTTTCTTTTTTTTTAAACAGAGAGATTTATGTATTTCTTTTACTTTCTCATAATTTTTTATTATGAGGAATTTTAAACACAAAAATGTAAACAGGTAAACAATATTATAGTTAACTCTGAGTTTCCATATTCAAGTCCAACAACCATCAACACATGGTTAGTCCTGCCCCATCCTTAACCCTTATCCCCTTTCTCCAATCCATATTACATTGAAAAAATTGTAATATATCAATTTATCTGTAAATATTTTAGTGTTCCTAAAACATAAAGACTCTTTACAAAATATAACCTAGTACCATTATCTAACCTTAAAAGAAATAATTTCTTAATATCAAGAGGCAGCAGGTTTTGAGTTTCTAATTACCTGATAGATGCTATTTGTCATATGTAAGTTAATTACGTGTAATACATTTTAAGTTTTATTTTAAAATTTTTATATAAATCATGCATACATAGAGATTGATTGATTTTTTTATTATGATCTGAACAATGTCCACACAATGTGGTTGGTTGAGATGCCTAAGTGAGTATGGTTTTAGAATAGTTTAATGATTTCTGATTAGATTATTGAATTCTAGCCTGATTTTGTTGTCATGATATAATGTGTAAATTTCTTTGAAATTTACGAAGGCTTTCTTTATGGACTAATGTGCAGACAGGTTTTTTAAATACTTCATGTTTGCTTGAAATGAATGTATAATTCTCCTGTTATTGGTTGTGAGATTCTATATTTGTCATTGGATAAGCCTTTTTAATCTTTAGTTTCTCTCTCTCTTTTTAATTCATCCTTTTCTGGGACAGATTGATCTGTCCTATAGTTTCCCATCCTGTACATATTGTCGCGAGCATCCCTATGGTGTAGTCTGACCTGTTCTTCTGCCTTCTTCAACTTCTGCATTTCCATACATTGAAAGTTGGATTTAGGTAGTGGTTACACTCAGATCTGACTTATTTTTCCAAGGTCATTCATAGGGCAATGATGGGCTCCTGGGCCACAAGATTGATAGAAGTTGATTTTCTTTTCTTTTTTTTTTGGTGTATGATGTTAACGGTAGTGATGTTCAGTGTCTTGATCTCTTAGTTCATTAAAAATTGCAAAATTGTGATCTAGTTCTACTATTCCTTCTTTGTTTCCTGACTTGAACACTTACTTGTATTATTTATTCATCCAGTGGTAAATGTTTATTTCTGTTTATTTGTTGGTTTTCAGTAAGTTTGTTCCATAGTTTAGTCTAAATTTTATCATTTCTTTTGTATCAGTATAAGGTCAATGATTTAAACACATTTAATATTTTAATCCATGGCATTGTTATCCTTACTGATGTGTAGATTGTCACATATTTATCTGTGGAGGTCTTTTCAAACTCTTTTGGCACCACTGTAGTGGTCTTTGATTTTTTTTTTTTTAATATAATCTGGATGAGAGTATGTTCCTGGCTCATGAAGTATATTTCTTCATCTCCAAGGAACCCCAATTCCTTTTAATGAGAAATGGTGTTTGGATACCACATGTTTCTATAGGATTGGACTAGAAAATATTTCATTATCATTTCATTACACCCAGCTAATTTTTTTAAATATTTATTTTTTAGTTGCAGTCGGACACAATACCTTTATTCTTTAATTTATTTGTTTTAATGTGGTGCTGAGGATGGAACCCAGGGCTGCGCACATGCTAGGCGAGCACTCTACCGCTGAGCCCCAGCCCCAGCCCCACCCAGCTAATTTTAAGATAAAATTTTTTTTGCTGATTGCATCATTACATTAAGGAATTAGTTTTTATTACTAAGACATTGTTAATAGTGATTAAATATTTTTAAAAATATTTCAGCTAGTGGCTAATAGCTTTTGTTCTTTAAAATGTTAGTGTTATCAAATGTTTTTGATCCTAAACCTCAAGAAATAAAACCATGATGTTATTGATAACATCAATAAGTGGTATTTTAACAAATTAAAAAGCATCTGCACAACAAAGGATGTGTTTAAGAGGATGAAGAAAGAACCTGGGGAATGGAAGAAAATCTTTGCCAGCTACTCCTCTGAGTTAATATCCAGAATATACAAAGAACGTAAAAACTGTAACACAACACCTCTCCCCCAACACACATCAATAACCCAATCAGTAAACAGGCAAAAGAACTAAGTAGGACTTTTCTCAAAAGAAGAAACACAAATGGCCAACAAATATATGAAAAAACATTCAACATCTCTATCAACAGGGGAATACAAATTGAAACTAAATGAATTTAGTTTAAATGAAATACAAGATTTCATCTCATTTCGTCAGAATGGCAATGATTAAGAATACAAATAATAATAGAGCTGATGAGGATGTGGGGGGAAAATATACACTTACACATTGTTGGCAGGACTGCAAATTAGTACAACTACTTTGGAAAAGAGTGTGGAGATTCCTCAAAAAGGTAGGAATGGAACCACTATATGACCCAGCTATACTTTTACCAGGAACTAAAATCAGCATATTAGAGCAATATAGCTACTACAATGCTTATAGCAGCACAATTCATAATAGCCAAATTATAGAATCTGCCCAGATGCCTGTTAATAAATGAATGGATTTAGAAAATGTGCTATATATAAATGGAATTTCACTCAACCATATGAATTGAACTGGAGAATATCATGCTATGTGAAATAATCCAGACTCAAAAAATCAAGGGTTGATAAAGACCTAAAAAGAGCATGCTACAGGGACACTGCTACATCGAAGTTCATAGCAGCACAATTCACAATAGCAAGACTGTGGAACCAACCTAGATGCCCTTCAGTGGATGAATGGATAAAAAAAAATGTGGCATTTATACACAATGGAGTATTACTCTGCATTAAAAAATGACAAAATCATAGAATTTGCAGGGAAATGGATGGCATTAGAGCAGATTATGCTAAGTGAAGCTATCCAATCCCTAAAAAACAAATGCCAAATGTCTTCTTTGATATAAGGAGAGTAACTAAGAACAGAGTAGGGTCAAAGAGCATGAGAAGAAGATTAACATTAAACAGGGATGAGAGGTGGGAGGGAAAGGGAGAGAAAAGGGAAATTGCATGGAAATGGAAGGAGACCCTCAGAGTTATACAAAAGTACATACAAGAGGAAGTGAGGGGAAGGGGAAAAATAATACAAGGGGGACATACGAATGTCAGTAGAGGGGGCAGAGAGAGAAGAGGGGAGGGGAGGGGAGGGGAGGGGGGATAGTAGAGGATAGGAAAGGCAGCAGAACACAACAAACACTAGTATGGCAATATGTAAATCAATGGATGTGTAACTGATGTGATTCTGCAATCTGTATATGGGGTAAAAATGGGAGCTCATAACCCACTTGAATCAAATTGTGAAATATGATATATCAAGAACTATGTAATGTTTTGAACAGCCAACAATAAAAAATTAAAAAAAAAAAATCAAGGGTTGAGGTGGATGTAGCTCACACCTATGATACCAGCGGCTTGAGAGGCTGAAGCAGGAGGATCACAAGTTCAAAGCCAGCCTTAGCAATTTAGTGAGGCCCTCTCTCAAAAAATAAGAAAGGGCTGGGGATGTTGCTCAGTGGGTAAGTGCCCTGGGTTTAATCCCTAGCATCAAAAAAGAAAGAAAATCAAGGGTCGAATGTTTTCTGTCATGTGGAAGCTAGTGGAAAATGGGGAAAGAAGGTGAGGGGTGGAGGGCAGGGGATCATATCATAAACACATTGGGAAGATTAGAGTGGAAGAAGGAGATCAAGAGGGAGGGAGGAGGGATTGGAAAGGAAGGAAATGCATAATGAATTTAACAAAATCAGTTTGTGCATATATAAATATACCACAGGGAATTTCACCTTTGTATGTAGAAAGCACCAATCAAAAATAAGTGAGTGCAAGGAAGATGAATAGAGGAGAGGAAGGAGAATAGAGGGAGAGAAGAGAGAAGGGAGTGGGACCTGAAAGGGAGTAAGTCAAATTCCACGTTTGTATGATTTTGTCAGGTAAATCCAATGACTGTGTATAACTGTGATGCTCTAATAAAAAAAAACTAGTTTTTTTGATAGATTTTTAGCAGACATCTATAATTTATTGGATTGATTTTAAATGCTGTTGCATTAACTAAATATATGCCATCACATTGAAACAAAATTGCATATAACCTAATTCTACTTATTTTCATAGACTTTAATAGTGGTTTACTAAATGTTTCTCTCTCTTTTTTTTCATTGTAGGTTATTTTAGTATCTGCCAATAAATTGACCCGTTATATAGAACCATGCCAATTAACAGAAGATTTTGGTGGGAGTCTCACCTATGATCACATGGACTGGTTAAATAAGAGACTGGTTGGTATATTATAATGAGATAAAATGTTAGCTGCATGTAAATAAGAAATTTTTGAAAACTTCATTGCTTTAATCAACTAAAATGTAGTTTAGTTTTCTTTTTTGCAAAAATGGAAAGATACATTGCATTCCATAGTGTTTGTGGACAAATATTCTGGAATCACGCTCACTTGATTAGAAAGAATCCTCATGGCAGTTGCTGTGTACATGATTTTCAGCAGTGCATTTCCTTTCTTCATGCCTCAGTTTCACATTTTCAATGTGGTAGATAATAATAGAATTGCCTCGTGAGACTGAGGGTAAGAAGAATTGAATATACCTACACTAAAGCATTTAGAACAGCACCCAGTATGATATAATAACACTATTAGCTATTATGGATGCCATTAGTAGCATCAATAAAAGTTATAAATGTTTTAAGTAGAATATCAGTAACACAATATTTTCAGAAGTAATCTAGTCGAAGTACCATTTTCAGAGGATATTTAAACATCAATTTGAGTTGCCGGCTTGAGGAGCAGTCTGACACAATAAACTTTTCATTTCTGAAAAGTGTCTTGTTTATCCAAACTTCTGAAATCTGCTGTGTGTTTCATACGACTTTGTTTTATTGAGCTATTGAGGCAATAGTCTTCAAATTACATTATGTGCTAATTTTACTGGAGAATAATGACCTTTTGGTTATCTTTGGATAATCGTTTCTACTGTATTTGAATAGTGATATCAGACAGTGTTCAACCACTTTATTACATAGGTTTGAAGATTTGTCCAAATCTCTATCATGTTAGAATTATAATGAATTTATTTTCATGTAACATGCTTATCTGTAAAACTCTAAACCACTGTGAACTGTTGATAGAATAAGAGGAAGAAATATCCAACTAAAACAAAAGCACTTGAACTGGTTTAAGTAACATTCATATAGTTATGAAATTTGGTGTTACAGATTTTCTCCAAGAAACACAATGATAAAAATAAACTTGTCTGAATGAGGGATCAGAATAATTTCTTAATGTTCCTTTTTAAAAACCCCTTTTGCATTGAAACTGTTCACTGTTTTGGATGCGGCTTTGTGTTCTGTGCTTTCTTGTGCTCTGGTGATTGAACTGAATTGACTTCCTGGGAAGGAAAGGGAATCCTGGCTAATATTACGGCTCTTAACTGAAAATCCTACTGCATAATAATTTTTAAGACTATTCTTAGTATATTAATAAAATTTCATATTGTAGGTTTTTGAGAAGTTTACAAAGGAATCTACATCATTGTTGGATGAACTTGCTTTGATTAATAATGGAAGTGATAAAGCAAATCAGCAAGAGAAAGAAAGGTAAGTGGTTGGTGGTATGTAATTATATTCTTGCCAAGTTATGATTTGTCAGTTAAAAGATACCTGTATTGTTAGTGCAAGTTAAAAGAACTATGATAAACAAATTTCCACTCAGTCAAAATTGATGTACATACATATTTATGAGAGTTTTCTTTATACGTAAAACATACTCATTTGAATCAAAGTTTCTTTACAAAAGCCATTTCTTTTTTTGTGAATAGCTATATACTTCTTTTTCTGACACTGCAGAAAATATTAAGTTGCAAGAACATATTTTTGAAATAGTTTTCTACCTTTTTTAGTTCTTGTCTTTCCCTCTAAAGAATATGAAAACAGTTGCAGCTTGAAATAAAATTATAATTTTATCTAAATACATTAGTGCTTAAATGCCTAACTTTTAAGAACTTCCTCTAGCCTTATAAAATATGTGATATTCATGAATTTAACTTAAGGAACTTGGTATTTTATGATACTTGTTGAAGTAATAATTAATTCTGTTGTTTAAATGTAAGTACCTAGATTTATCATTTTAACAGGTTTAACAGATTTATCATTGAACTTATAACCTTGCCAGTATTCATTTTTCTTTTGATAGGTGAGTTCCTCTCTCCCTAGATAAAAAGCACTTAAGGAAGCAAATAACTGCTTCCATTCTCTTGATTATTACTGGTCACTGGGATAATAATTTTTCATTAGGAAATTATTTTTTCTTTTATTCTTTTTAAAAAAATTGTTGTTTTTAGATATACATGACAGTGGAGTGTATTTTGACATATTATGCTTATTATGCTTACATGGAGTATTACTGCTCTAATTAGGATCCCATTCTTGTGGTTGTACAGGATTTGGGGTTTCACTCATCGTACAGTGATATATTCACATACCTGATTCATTCTGCTATCTTTACTATTCCCATCTCCTTTCTGTTCCCTTCATTTCCCTTTGTCTAATCCAGTGAATTTTTATTCCCTTCCCTCTTCCAATGAACTTCTACCACTGTCCTTCACTTATTGTGTGTTAGCATCTGGATATGAGAGAGGTATTTGGCCTTTGTTTTGTTTTGTTTTGTTTGAGATTGGCTTATTTCACTGAGCATGATAGTCTCCAGCTCCATCCATTTGCCAGCAAAAGCCATAAAGTCATAAAGTCTTTTTTATGGCTGAGTAATATTCGTGTGTGTGTGTTGTGTGTGTGTGTGTGTGTATGTATGTGTATGTGTTTGTGTCATTTTCTTTATCCATCTGTTGAAGGACACCTAGGAAGTTTCCATAGCTTATTGTGAATTGAGTTACTATAAACATTGATGTGGCTGCATTACTTAGTATGCTGATTTTAAGTCCTTTGGGTATAAACCTAGGAGTGGGATAACTGGGTCAAATGGTGGTTCTATTCCAGGTTTTTCTAAGGAATCTCCCTACTGCTTTCCAGATTGGTCGCACCAATTTGCAGTCCCACCAGCAATGTATGAGTGTACCTTTTCCCCCCACATCCTTACCAATATTTACTATTATTTGTATTCTTGATAATTGCCATTCTGACTGGAGTGAGAAAAATCTCAGTGTAGTTTTAATTTGCATTTCTCTAATTGCTAGAAACATTGAACATTTTTTTCATATATTTGTTGACCATTCGTTTTCTTCTTCTTTGAAATGCCTCTTCAGTTCCTTTGCCCATTTATTGATGGGTTATTTGGTTTTTTGGTGTTAAGTTTTTTGAGTTCTTTATATATCCTGGAGGTTAATGCTTTTTCTCAGGTGCAGGAGGCAAAGATATTTTTACCATTCTGTAGGCTCCCTCTTCACATTACTGATTGTTTCCTTTGCTGAAAATAAGCCTTTTCCTTTCATACTATCCCATGTGTTGATTTTTGGTTTTACTTCTTGCACTTTAGGAGTCTTGTTGAGAAAGTCCCTTTCTAAGCTGACGTGATGGAAATTTGGGCCTATATTCTTTTATCAGGAGCAGGATCTCTGGTCTAATGTCTAGGTCTTTGATCTGCTTTGAGTTTCATGATGAGAGAGAGGTGTTAAATTTCATTCTATTACATATGGGTTTCTTGTTTTCTTAGTTCCATTTGTTGAAGAGGCTATCTTTTCTCCCATGCATGTTTATGGGGCCTTTGTCTAGTATGAGATAGATATATTTATGTGAGTTTGTCTCTGTGTCTTCAATTCTGTACCATTGGCCTTCATGTCTGTTTTGTTGCCAATACCATGCTGTTTTTGTTACTATACTTCTGTAGTATAATTTAAGTTCTGGTATTATGATGCCTGCTGCTTCACTTTTCTCACTAAGGATTGCTTTGGCTATTCTGGGTCTCTTATTTTTCCAAATGAATTTCATGACTCTTTTTTTTCTATTTCTATGAAGAAAATCATTGGAATTTTAGTAGGAATTCCATCGAGTCTGGATAGTGCTTTGGGTAGTGTGGCCAGTTTGACAGTATTAATTCTGCCTATCCAAGAACATGGGAGATCTTTCCGTCTTCTAAGATCTTCATTTTCTTTCTTTAGTGTTCTGCTGTGGTTTTCATTGTTGTAGAGGTGTTTTGCCTCTTTTGTTAGATTGATTCCCCAAGCATTTTATTTTCTTTTTTTGAGGCTATTGTGGATGGGATAGTTTTCCTAATTTCTCTTTTAGCTGATTCATCATTGGTGTATAGGAATGCACTTAATTTATGGGTGTTAATTTTATATCCTGCTACTTTGCTGAATTTATTTATGAGTTCTAGAAGTTTTCTAGTGGAGTTTTTTAATCTTCAAAATATAGGATCATGTCGTCAGCAAATAGGGATAATTTGAGCTCTTCTTATTCTTTTCCCTTTAATTTCTTTTGTCTGTTTGATTGCTCTGGCTGGAGTTGCAAGGACTATGTTGAATAGAAGTAGTGAAAGTGGGCATCCCTTTCTTGTTCCAGTTTTTAGAGGGAATGCTTTCAAATTTTCTCCATTTAGAAATGGGGTTTAGCATATGTAGCTTTTAAAACGTTGAGGTATGTTCCTACTATCCCTAATTTTTCTAGTGTTTTGAACATGAACGAATGCTCTATTTTCTCAAATGCCTTTTCTGTGTCTATTAAGGTAATCATATGATTTTTATCTTTAATTCTATTGATATGATGAATTACATTTATTTTATTAGCAAATTTGAAGGAATCAGCAGAGATTCTTGGATAGCTCCTTGGCTTGTAACCTTGAATATACAGTGGAACATTAATAAAAGTCTATCATGTTATTCTGTGAATCCAGATGTAGTCAATTACCTGAAATAATAAGGGCAGAGAGAGATAAGAGAATCTTAGTATCAATACCAAATCTCAATTAAAACAGTCAAAATGTGAATACAAATAGCTTAAATATAAATCTAATTAAAGTTATCATAGGAAGTTACTACCCTGAGATGTTATATAAAAACATAAATATTTAAGTATATGATGGTGTATGTAACTATTACACAGTCACATATAGTTTATGAATTGAAAATGTCACACAAGGTGCTTGATTAAACATTAACCAAGTATTCTTGCTTTTTAATTAGTTGCAGAAGAAGTTTAATATGTTTTGGTTACTTTCCCCAGAAAAGACATTAGAAGAGGATGTCTATAGAAAATGAGTTCATGGTCAGAGAGGTTAGTGCTGTCAGTTAATTTTCCCTCCCTGAGAATGACTGTAAACGTTACAGACTAAGCTCTGAGGAAGCACTGTAGCCGAGAAACCTGTTCATTGCTTCCTTAAAACTTTCCATGTGGTGATGGGAAGCCTTTTACTTGACCTCATCTTGTTCAATGTTTTGAGAAACATTTTGGAAATGCTGGTTTACATGTCTACATGAAGTATTAAATAAAATCTTGTATTTGCCAATCCCTCCTCAATGCACTCAAGTGTTAATGCTGTTTCTTTTATACCCAGATACTAAAGTCCTTCTCTTGCAAATTTTCATCAACCTCCTTAATAGATGCAGAAAAGGCATTTGAGAAAATAGAGCATTCATTCATGTTCAAAACACTAGAAAAATTAGGGATAGTAGGAACATGCCTCAACGTTTTAAAAGCTACATATGCTAACCTCCCCTCTAGGGGAGGGCCTAGATCATTTGGCAGAAGGCAGGGTTTTAGCTCAAGACTGAACAGTTAGAGCATACAGCAACATGATCCCTTTCTTTCCTCAAGCATCTCTTTCTCATATGTGTTTAAGAAAATAAAGGCAGAAGTCCGGCTGTATAAGAAACATAATTGGAATAGCAAAGAGAATATAATTGGTAGGACACACACACATACATGCAGTATCAGAAATATTTGAAGCTATGAAAAGTTGTGATAGATAAATAAACTTTTTTTGTTTTCCCCAGTACTGGGAATTGAACCCAGGGCCTTATGCATGCTAGGCACGTGCTCTACCACTGACTACATTTTAGCCCTTAGATAAGAAAGCTTTTGATTGGAGGATAGCTGCATACATTTTTTATGTTACAGTTCTGGGTTTCTATATAATTAGAAGCTTCATTTTGAAACTAATGTTCAGTGGATTAACATGATAATGTATTTTTTTGGTATATTTTAAATAATGCTGTATTGCACAATTTATATTTTCTAATTTGTATAATTTTATGATCTTAAAATTTTATGGTTTATCACATGGTATTTCTCTGGCTGCTAGAATTTAATTTTTTTTCTAATATATTTCCCTGTGTTTAAGAGATAAACATGGTGGAAATGGAATACTTGTGTACCCATTTTGATATTACATGTAAAGGGATCTCTTAAGTTATATGAAAATAGTATAACTTTTAAAAAGTTGCATTTTTGGTGTTTTCCAGATCTGTGGATTTAAACTTTCTTCCATCAGTTGATCCTGAAACAGTTCTTCAGACAGGTAAGATGAAAACATATGTATTACTGATACTAATTCAATAAACCAATTGTTCATTAAGTAGACATTGTCAGCATCTATGTGGTACATATTGTAGGAATTTGATGGGAAAGTCTTTTTTATTTGTTCTAGTTTGTTATACATGGCAGCGGAATGCATTTCAATTCATAGTACACAAATGGAGCACAATTTTTCATTTCTCTGGTTGTACACAAAGTATAGTCACAGCATTCATGTCTTCATACATGTACCTAGGGTATTGATGTCAATCTCATTCCACCATTTTTCCTTCCCCCATATCACCTCCCTTCCCTCCCTCCCCTTTACCCTATCTAAAGTTCCTTCATTCTTCTCATGCTCCCCCCACCCCCATTATGGATCAGCATCTACTTATCAGAGAAAACATTCGGCCTTGGGATTTGGGGGATTGGCTTACTAAACTTGGCATGATATCCTCCAATTCTACCCATTTACCTGCAAATGCCGTGATTTTATTCTCTTTTAATGCTGAGTAATATTCCATTGTGTATATATACCACATTTTCTTTATCCATTTATCTATTGAAGGGCATCTAGGTTGGTTCCACAATTTAGCTATTGTGAATTAAAAATAGCTAAATTGTGCTGCTATAAACATTGATGTGGCTGCATCACTGTAGTATGCTGTTTTTAAGTTCTTTGGGTGTAAACCAAGGAGTGGGATAGCTGGGTCAAATGGTGGTTCCATTTCAGGTTTTCTTAGGAATCTTCATACTGTTTTCCAGATTGGTTACATTAATTTGCAGTCCCACCAGCAATGTAAGAGTGTGCTTTTTTCCCCCATATTCTTGCCAACACTTATTGTTATTTGTGTTCTTGATATTTGCCATTCTGACTAGAGTGAGATGAAATCTCAGTGTAGTTTTAATTTGCATTTTTCTAATTGCTAGAGATGTTGAACATTTTTTTCATATATTTGTTCATTGATTGTATATCTTCTGAGAAGTGTCTGTTCAATTCTTTTGGGTTATTTGATTTTTTGATGTTAACTTTTTTGATTTCTTTTTATGAATCCTGGAGATTAGTGCTCTATCTGATGTGCATATGGTAAAAATTTGCTCCCATTCTGTACTCTCTCTGTTCACCTCACTGATTGTTTCTTTTGCTGAGAAGAAGCTTTTCAGTGTGAATCAATCCCATTTGTTGATTCTTGATTTTATTTCTTGCACTTTAGGAGTCTTGTTAAGGAAGTAGGGGCCTAATCCAACATGATGAAGATTTGGGCCTACCTTTTTCTTCTAGTCTAATTCTTAGGTCCTTGATCCACTTTGAGTTGAGTTTTGTGCATGGTGAGAGATACAGGCTTAATTTTATTTTACTGCATATGGATTTCCAGTTTTCCCAGCATCATTTGTTGAAGAGGCTATCTTTTCTCCAATGTATGTTTTTGGCACCTTTGTCTAGTATGAGATAACTGTATTTATGTGGGTTTGCTCTGTGTTCTCTATTCTGTACCATTGGTCTACAAGTCTGTTTTGGTGCGAATACCATGCCATTTTTGTTGGTTGCTTTATAGTATAATTAAAGTCTGGTATTGTGATGCCACCTACTGAACTCTTTTTGCTAAGGAAGAAGATTTATGTCATATCATAAAGATTGCTTTGATGGTTCTGGGTCTCTTATTTTTCTAAATGAATTTCATAATTGCTTTTTCTATGAGGAATGTCATTGGTATTTTGATTGGAATTGCATTAAATCTGTATAATGCAGTATGGTCATTGTGACAATATTAATTCTGCCTATCCAAGAACATGGGAGATCTTTTCGTCTTTTAAGGTCTTTTTTAATTTCTTTCTTTAGCATTCTGTAAGTTTTCATTGTAGAGGTCTAAAACTCTTTCATTAATTTGATTCCCAAGTATTTTATGTTTTTTTTTTTTGTTGTTTTTTTTTGAGGCTACTGTGAATGGGGTCATTTTCCTAATTTCTCTTTCAGAGGATTTGTTACTGATGCACAGAAATGCCTCTGATTTATGGGTTTTTTTTGCTGGGACATACTTTTAAACTGCTTTTTGGTGTAACCTAATAATACTATGTTAACATACTGTATAATATTTAAAAAATTGATAATGATAATTTTTCTTCCTCTCAAAATGTTGAGATTTATTTCCTATTTTGCAATACGGAGGTGAAACTTTCTGTTTCATTACATGGCTGTGAGAATTATTGAATATTCACCTTGTACCAGGTACTGTGTTTTCGTCTTTCATTCTCCTAACAACCTTCTAAGATAGTTTTATTCTTTCTACTTTGTACTTGACGAAGCCAAGCCTTAGAGATACAAACAAACAGAAAACTTGTACAAGATCAAATAAGCTTAAATTCTCTCCATAGCTCAAAATCGGGGTATATATGTGTATTGAGAATTGTAATGCAAAAAAAAAAGAGTGCATGTATAATGGCATAACTTGGCATAAACATACTTTATATGCAGAGTTACGAAAAATTGTGCTGTATATGAGTAATAATGAGTGTAATGCATTCCACTATTGTCATGTATTTAAGAAAAAAACGGGTCTAAATGCAGAGGCAATAACCCCTTAGCTGTCTGCAGTGACCTTGCACAGTGAGTGCTCTGTGGAGCTTGCCATGTGTGTTCTACCCATAGATCCATAGTTGTTATGTCACACATTCCAGGAGAAAAAGTTGGAATTCTTCCCATTGGAAATACCACAATTTTATTTCTATCCACTTTTTCCAATAATAGCTCATAATTCTAGTCTGACTGTGGGACAGGCACTCTTCTAAGCACTTTATTTATGTTAACTCATTAATTCTTTACTACAACCTTGTGAAGTCTGTACTGTTATCATCCCAGTATTAAGAGGAGGAAATGGAAGCACAAGAAGGTTAAGTAATTTTTGCAGGTTATTCACCCAGTAAATGCTAGAGTTGGGATCTTAACCCAGACAGTGTGCTTTCAGAATATGTTCTTTGAAATAATGATGTCGTGCTGTTTCTCTAATGGAAGTGGTATCTAAAAGGCCAACATTAAGGGTAACAGTTGCCAAAATAGAAAAAAAAATGTGTTCTGATATTATGCTTTTGATTTTATATACGGAGATTTGTGCAAAGAGTTAGATGTGTTTTAAACAGGTGTTTTTCCAGTTTTAAGATGGGAAAGGCAGCGGAGCACAACAGACACTAGTATGGCAATTTGTAAATCAATGGATGTGTAACTGATGTGAATCTGCAATCTGTGTATGGGGTGAAGGTGGGAGTTCATAACCCACTAGAATCAAAGTGTGGAATATGATATGTCAAGAAATTTGTAATGTTTTGAACAACCCACAATAAAAAATTAAAAAAAAAAAAAATAAAAAAAAAAATAAAATATACTGCTTAAATAAAAAAAAAAAAAAAAAAAAAGATGTGATGAGGAGTAATAAATTTTGAATATCTTTGTTGTAACTCTGTTGTCCTAATGTTCAATGTGTCATAGATCTTACTTCCTTAGAGAACAAAGAAATACTTGTACCCTCTGAATTATGCTTAAATGTTAAAATAGACTACCAGTTCTACTCTATGTTTAAAATTTAATTCCATGTATATGTTTGATATTTTGAAAATTGCTTATTTTAAGACATTGAATTAAGAAACTTTTTTTTTTTTTGTATCAGGGATTGAACCCAGGGGTACTTAACCACTAGTCCTTTTAATATTTTATTTAGAGACAAGGTCTTGCTGAGTTTCTTAGGGCCTCACTAAATTGCTGAGGCTGGCTTTGAACTTATGATCTCCTGCCTCAGTCTCCTGAGCCGCTGGGATTATAGGTGTGCACCACTGCACCTGGTGAATTAAGAAACTTCTAAAATTTATATTTTAAAATTAATTTTATATGCCACTAAGTCTTTTTTATGTGCTATTAACTCTTAAGATAGAGATTACAAAGTATAATGTGGAGAGGTTTAGGAAATTTTGTTTACTTATTTATTTATTTAGAGACTGGAAATAGCTCTCTTTCTGTATATTGAAAGTCATTTAAAAAGTCATATTTTACTGAATTAAAAGTAAAAGAATTTAAATATCATGTATTGTTTGGTACCAAAATAACAGAATCATTTTATCCTGGAAAAATAATCTTTACTTTTAAAATTGTGCATATATTTACAGCTTTTGTTGTAAATAAGTGGATTTACTTGTAAATGAGTTGATTTCCTACATGAGCTTGCTATAATTGAATCACATTCAATGCAGTTCTCACACTAGTATGTTTTATGATTCACAGTTAATATGTTGTGGAGATTTTACAGAGATTATTTGTAATGAAAATTTTATTTATGCTAATCATACATCTGTTTCATTGTCAACTTTTAAGTGTTGTAATGAGATATTAATAGGGATCAATACTGAAATCTTATATAGCTTGGATTAATATCATCATACAGAAATCCCAGAGTATAATTCTGCTCTGTCAGAAAACATGATTGATTGGCATAGTGTTCTAAGTAATAAATCCACCAAAAACAAGAATGCGATAGATAAAACAGATAGAAATTATATATCACCATATATATGCTATACTATATTTTCTGTTACATAGCATATATCTGTAGCATATGTATTTGTGATATATGATTATTTTTTTGATATATATGTATTTATATGCATATATGCAATTTTTCTATTTATTGTGATATAATTTTCTTCTTTGTATTTTACTGCTTATGACGTAGAAGATAGATAGGTGGATAGTTTTTAAAAACAAATTGTATTTCTTTATGGGTATTAATTACAAGTATCTTTTATTTGTAAAGGGCATGAATTATTATCCGAATTACAGCAGCGTCGATTTAATGGCTCTGATGGTGGGGTCTCGTGGTCTCCTATGGATGATGAACTGCTTGCGCAGCCACAGGTTATGAAATTATTAGATTCACTCCGAGAGCAGTACACCCGCTACCAGGAAGTATGCAGACAGCGTAGTAAACGCACCCAATTAGAAGAGATTCAGCAAAAAGTGATGCAGGTAGGTATCTGATTGGACTATATCTAACTCTTTCATTCTAAATGTTTTTTTTCCTGATAATTTCTATTTTGTGACTTTTACTAAGTATTATTTATACCATATAGAGAAATATATAGACATTTCAAACTGGAATTCTAAAAATATTTTATCTTTTTATATATAGTATTTAGATTAAAGTCATATTATTTCTTCAGTGATGACATTGAGCATTCAGCTTACTCTAACACAATGAGTTTTAAAAATAGGTAGTTGGAAACATGATGAGTGCTTTCAGAATTCTTGCAATAAATAATATCTGATTATTGATATTTGATTTATTCTCTTTTTTGAGGGGGGGAATGTACCAGAGATTGAACCCAGGTATGCTTAACCATCAAGCCACATTCCCAACCCATTTTTTATTTTTTTATTTTGAGACAGGGTCTTGCTAAGTTGCTTAGGGCCTTGCTAAGCTACTGAGGCTGGCTTTGCAATTGCAATCCTGCCCTAACTGTGCCCAGCTGATTTCTTCTTCTTCTTCTTCTTTAAATAGATATTTGTATACTCAGGTTCTCTTAAAAAAAAAAAAAAAAGAAAACTTTTTTTTCTTTTTTTGTAGTTGTAGATGGATGGACAGAATGCCTTTATTTTGTTTATTTTTATGTGGTACTGAGGATCAAACCCAGTGTCTCACACATGCTAGGCAAGTGCTATGCCATTGAGCTACAGCCCCAGGCCCAGTCCCCTGATTTATTTTCAATTTCCAATAACTTTTCTGTTAATTTGATAATTATGATGAGTTTTTTATTCTTAGAAAAAATAAATGTAATGTAAGTAATTCTAATATTAAATGTATTGTTTAATACAGAAAATATTAAATGTATTTATTTCTTAAGAAATTTTAGTTCCCTTTAAAATTGAGTTGTATAAGAAATATAGGCAGGAATGCTCAGAGTCAATACTAAGGAAAGACATTTATGTTCTTTTGATTATATTGAATTTTTGTCTGTTTTGTAATTAAGAAAATAAAATCTTTAAATATTTAAAAATGCAAATTAGAAATGTCCCAGTTTTTTATCTCAATTCACTAGGTAAATATTTATTAAGTGCTTGTTAAAAAGAGGGGATAGTGCTAGACATTATACAGGACATGAAGGTAGACTTGGTTTTTGCTGTTAATGTTTAAGGGGCAAAAATGTGAAGTGTCACAGGACATGACCGAAGTGCCATGCCATGGGCATTTATAGAAGGGATTATTTCTCTGGCTTTGGGCAATCTGGGAAGACTTAGTGGGGGTAACAAAACTTAAGCTTGTCTCCAAGATTTCACTCTGCAATGATGGCTTTGAAAAACTGGAGTTTTGGGCTGGGGTTGTAGCTCAGTGGTAGAGCACTTACTTAGCATGTGTGAGGCACTAGGTTCAATTCTCAGCACCACGTAAATAAATAAAGGTCCATTGACAACTAAAAAAAAAAAAAAAAGATTTGCATTCTGTGGAGGATGAAGCATAGCATGAGTAAACAGCTGCTTGAAATCCTAAGCCTTGCTAGGAAAAAGGGAAGCAATTGGCACAGAGGGGATTGATGGCCTTTTCACCATACAACATGGTCAGAAAGGTAGTCTCCATCGTATATCTAAGACTTGCTCTATCTGTCTACTTTCTTTACCCCCTTCTTCTTTTCCTTCTTTCACTAATTGAAATAGGGATAATAACAGCTCTTTTAAAAGTCTAGTGTTTGGGGAAGAACCCAATATTCAATTAATAGTAGCTGTTTTTATTTCTATTGAAGTAGTTTCTACTCTCGATATTTACTGCAGTTGTTAGTGGACTTTTTCTGTAAAGGGACTAAGATTTAGGCTTTGTGACCAGACAGTCTTTGTTGTAGTTACAGCCACTTAGCTCTGCCATCATTGTGCAAGAATAGACATAGTATTGTGTAAATGAAGGTACAGGGCCTTTCCCCAATAAAACTTTATGTACAAAAACAGGTGGTGGGCCAGAATTGGCCTGCAGGCCACAGTTTGCCGACCTCTGAACTAGAGTATCAGGATGTCATAGGAAAAAACAGTTGAAAGGAAGGAAGGATCATGAAAATGTTGAATTCCAGGCAAAAATTAAGGCTTGAGTCCATGGATAACCACATATAAACTTGATTTCTGGGGATACTTTAATTTATGCAACTTTTTCTATGTTCTCATTTGTAAATTAAAGAATGGTTCCTATTAATTCAAGTAAACTTTGGCTAATTAGTTTGAGATTATCTTTGAAAACTACAAAGAAGAAATAGCATAATGGTATAAAACTCAGATTTCGAACCCATGTTACTGGGTCCACCCTCTTCTACTTTTAAGCACCTTCACCTTGGGAAGAATGTTCCATGCCCTAGTTTTCTCTTTAGTCAACAGAGAATAACAACAATATCATCATTGACTATAATAGCTATTTAATAAGACTGTTGTGGATTTAAAAAAGATAGTCTTTGTAAAGTGTTTACTGCTGGATATTTATTCTAGACATTGCTATAGGCAGAGAACCCAGGTGATAGGACTCATACAGCATTTGTGCGTTGGTAAAGTGGAACAAATGGCCATAACAGAAAGTCAGGGACACAGGAGTTAATGTGTTAGCAAGCACATTTTTGAAATGATGGGCCAGCTCAATTGGATAAAGAAATTGGAGAAGGGAAATGATGATGGTGATATTTATGATAATAGTAATAATGGTAACAAGATTATTGTTTAAAAAATTAAACTTCTGTTAAAGAATGAATTTCTTTTTATTTTTTTAAATTTGTTTTTTTAAATATATGACAATAGTGGAATGATTATTACCCATATACAGCACAATTTTCTTGACTCTTTATATAAAGTATGTTCACGCCAAATTATGCCATTATACATGTACTCTCTTTTTTTACATTATAATTCTTAATATACATATGTACCACAATTTTTCATATCTCTGTATATAAGGTATGTTGACACCAAATTCAAATCTTCATACATGTATTTTGTATAATGATGACCATCACATCCCACCATCCTTGCTATTCCCCTTCCCCCTCCCTCTCCCTCCCACCCCTCTTCCCTATCTAGAAATAATCTTCCTCCCATGCTCTCCCTCCCTACCCCACTTTAAGTCACCCCCCTTATGTCAGAGAAAACATTCAGCATTTGTTTTTTTGGGATTGGCTAACTTCACTTAGCATTATCTTCTCCAATGCCATCCATTTACCTGCAAATGCCATGATTTTGTTCTTTTTTAGTGCTCAGTAATATTCCATTGTGTATAAATGCCACATTTTTTTTTTTATCCATTCATCCACTGAAGGACATCTAGGTTGGCTCCACAGTTTAGCTATTGTGAACTGTGCTGCTATAAACATTAATGTGGCTGTGTCCCTGTAGTATGCTGTTTTTAAGTCCTTTGGGTATAGTCTGAGAAGAGGAATAGCTGGGTCAAATGGTGGTTCCATTCCCAGATTTCTAAGGAATCTCCATACTGCTTTCCAAATTGGCTGCACCAGTCAATCAATTGGAACATTAGTGGTCACCATGCAGTGTTTTCCTACATTCTTGTTTTCATAGATGTCAGCTTAAGGAAAGATTCCCCCCCACCCCGCCGGCCAAAATGGTTACTTAAATTTAACTATATAATTGATGATATGCTGATCACATGGTATGAGCTATACCATCTCCTGATTTGCAAATTTGGGGAAAATGTAAAATTTTTTTGTTTATATAAAGGTCACCATTAAATTGAATATCTTTGTTTGTGTTAAATTCTTAAAAAATGAATTACTTCAGATTTCTTTGTTCAGTAGCTTATCGCTAAAAACATTATTCAAGAGCAATCCATAGCTCTGATAAACTAGGGGTTAAGTAGTAACATGATAGTTATCAGCACTTATTCCCCACAGTTCAAAGTAGCAGCATCAGATTCATGTAGTATGCAAGAGTTTTTCATACTGCTGCTGCTGTGGCAGTTAAAAATTATATTTCACATGCTTTTGTCTGGAAGACAATGCCACTTCACTGAAATATGCTATTGTTAGTCCCATTATTTATTATGGAAGTAATTACCACCAGCACTGCAAATGTTATTTCTAGAATCATTCATGTGCTTTTCTTCTGTGTAGAGAGGAACTGTAGATGCAAAATTAGATACACTCTGAGTTGCATAAGTATGTAGCTAGAGGCTATGTTCTCAGACCCCATGCCCTTTTTGTGGGGCAGATCCTTAACATTTGCTTGACACATCCTTTTGGCTGGTTTGACCTTATATACTTCTAGATATTCTCTCATGCATTCTTTAAATCAGCCTGGCCATGAAAGAATAGTAGATAGTCACATTTTTGGCCTGTGCAAATATTTGTCATGGTAGATTTTAAGAACACATCTCCAAGGTTATACTTTGCATATAAATGTAACCATTCTGGGGTCACATTGTTATGGATTGGATACAGAACTGTTTTTTACAGTAAATTAATATTCAGATTGAGCAAGATGTTGTGTTTGAAATTAAGTTTTATATAATAGTTGTTTGGCAAGCTACCATCATTAATGCATTTAAATAAACTTGTTTACTGGGGCATCCACCTCAATTTGCATTATTTTTATTAGAAATAGTCACCCATTTACTGTGTCTACATTACTGATGAAGCATACTAAGGGAAATTATTTTCTGCATACATTAAAACTATATGGGTACTTGACAATGTAACAGGGTTTTTGTGCCAAGATGTCTTTGTTTAGTATACTTAAGATTTACTTTTTTAAAAAAATCTTATTACTTTTTTTTTAAAGAGAGACTGAGAGAGAGAGAGAGAATGAATTTTAATATTTATTTTTTTTTAGTTTTCGGCGGACAACATCTTTGTTTGTATGTGGTGCTGAGGATCGAACCCGGGCCGCACGCATGCCAGGCGAGCGCGCTACCGCTTGAGCCACATCCCTAGCCCCTTAAGATTTACTTTTAAGTTTGTGTTTCTTCAAACTTTCATTCTGTCTTAAGTCCTTTTTGTGCTGCTATAACAATACCTGAAACCAAATCATTATAAAGGACAGATTTATTTCTCACACTTCTGAAGGCTGGAAAGTCCAAGGTTGAGAGTTGCTTCTGGCAGGGTCTTTTTGATGCGTCATCCTACTGTAGGAGGTATAAAGGCAGCAGAGCCTGAGTGTGGGATGAAAAAGAAAAAGAACACATGTGCAGGAGTAAGCCAGCCACACTTGCCCCTGTAACACACCTACTCTCGGGATAATGACATGAATCCATTCATAAGGACAGAACCTTCATGACCTATCCACCCCTTCAAGTTCCTGCCTCTCAATACCATTTCATTGGGGACTAAGTTTCCAACACATTCAATCCGTACCATCATTTTTTTCCCTAATATATTTTTCCCAAGTTATATTAACTTGCTTTTTTAGTTTCTAGAGTATTCTAAAATCAAAGTTTACATGTTTGATGTTAATAATTTATTACTAATTAGTTAAAAATCTTAAGTGCCTTCATTACTTTTAGAATTTAGATATTTCTAGTGAAATATTTAAAATACCGAAATTCATTTCATCTCATTTTATCTCAGTGTGTCCATATTCATTGTCAAACATGTAGTAATAAATGAGAAATAACTTATGATCAAATGGAAAATTGTTTAAAAATGTTGATGTAAGCTTCCTTAAAGCTTACTCTTTTTTTATTTCCATATTTTAAAGTGTTGGATACCATAGTTAGTTCAGGGACTTCCTTGAGAACCCAGGGATCTGATTGGAAAATGCAGATATGAGAAAAACAAGAAGCTAGGCTACAGAAAACCTGGGAAAAGCAGAGGCTGGCAGCTATTAGTGTCTATTGCACTGAGTATCTTACATACAATGACTGGTATAACCCTGTAAGGTGAGCGTCACTAACATAATTTATAAGGTGAGGAACAAAAGTTTTTTGACTAGTGGGAGCAGAGCCAGAATTCAGCATTTAGATTCATGCGTAGTGCCTCTCTAATACCAAACTGTTCATCTGTCTCTTTTGTTAAAGAGTGATATGACAGGCTAATAGAGAGACACAGGATGTTAGTACCATGCCCTTCTGAAGACAGCGCATACGAAAGGTTAAAAAAGAAAAAATGGAGATGTTGAAGGACAAACCAACCTTTGCATTCTAAAGAGAATCTGAGGATAGCTTGCCTATGAATTTAGCACTCTGAAAATATAGTTTAACCAAGAGAAAGTTCCACTACTTAGGGCTATTCCAGTGAGTCAACAGTTCTATCCTTTGACTCTTTTGTTTTTGAGTTTTTTTTATTATTATTTCATTGTCATTGGATGAAAAATGTTCTGTATCAGAAAACTGTCATAGGAAAATGATATAGAATTAGAGAAAATACCATGTGTAATTGCTATCTATTGTTTTAATCACATTGCTTAGAATTCATGTAGAGTGGAAACACTTTAAATGTCCAACAATAAGAATGTAGCAGATATAATGGTTATTTAAGGTACCATATTTCTTAGTGCCTAATATTGGTTGGTTGAGTGGCTGGCTGGCTGGTTGATTAGATGGGAGAGAGGCAGGTAGACAAGCAAATAGGTTGATATTCTTAAAAAAGAGACTCTTGAGATCACTGAAAATTGTAATAACTGTAGCCACTTGGAAACTCATTAGAGTATGATAGTTTAATGATAAGTGAAAAATACAGGATAGAACTTACACTCTGAAAACTGACTGTAGCAACCCAATCTGGAGGAGTATATGAAAACTATGTGAAGAATTAATGGAAGAAAATACACATGACTGTTTTTTATGATGTCCTTTTATATAATTATAAAAAATAAAGATGTGTGTACCGTTAGGTTTAAAAACGAGACAATGTAAAGCTGGTGATATGATAGAGTGCACTGTGGAGCTACTGGCTGTGTTGACACAGTTCTAAGGCAAGCCTGTCCATGCAGACCCTCATAGTAAGCTGCCTTCACTCCTTGGGAGCTATCATAAGTTTAGATTTAAGGCATAAAATTACATATAGTTTTGAATTTCTTATTCTAATGAAGCAACAGGTAAATTTCAGCAGTAGTGTTTTCTTTAGTTAAAATTCCTTCATGGCATGATTGTGTGTGTAGAGTGTAGACTTAACAAAACTGCTGAGTATTTGTTCTTTGCCTAACTGTCTAGCTTTGCTCTCCTGAGAACCTGATAAAAATTGAAATGTCACCTATGTTATCAGGCAGTATTGCTTATAGTAAAAATTACCCCAGTTCTGGAACTGGGAGAACTATACTATTTGATGGAAGGCAGAACTGGGGGCATCCATGAATTCAGTTCACACTCATAATGGGTGTGTCCCTGAGGGATGTGAACTTTTCATGGTGGAGTGACTCCTGTGTCTCTCCCATGTGGACAGAAAAGGGACTTGGGAGAAGAGGAACTCCTAAAGTGCCACCCAGGATCAACTATAGCTGTACGCCTTCCCCTCTATCCTGGGTGGACTGGAGCTGGTGGGATTTCTTATGGGTCTGAATGTTTAGTTGATCCTAAGAAAGCACCTAAAGGTATTATAATATAATTCTGTAGTTAGTTTTATAATTTTCTTTTCAAAGTGATAAAGTAGTATTTTAGCTTTGTTAGTTCATCTAATTTTTTTTTCAGTGCTTAGGGAAGAGCATTAGACCAGATAACACAGGTTTTAGTCCTATTTTTTTTAGTAATGGGTTATGTTACCTTGGGGAAGTCATTTAGTCTCCCTGAAACTCAATTTTATTAAGTGTTAGATAACCTTGATTTCCCTTTCAACTCTAAATTCTGTAGTTTTCTGATTGTCTTATCATAAGTTAATTTTTAATCCTCTTTTATAGAACCATTCCAGATTTCTTTTTAGCTAGACAAATGATCAGATAACTGTAAGCCTAAGGCTACAGTGTACATCTTTCAAAGTGTAAATTTTGGAAATGTCATATTATAACTGTGTAATTCCGAAAGAAATGTTTATTACTTATGTAGTAGAACTTAAGAATTTCAGTTTAAAATACTTAAGGAATTTGGGGGAGAGAAAACCAGTTAGACTGAAAATTTGAAAAGCCTTTGATTATTCTAAAATTTCATCTCAACTTTCATTTACAGGTTGTGAACTGGCTGGAAGGACCTGGATCAGAACAACTGAGAGCCCAGTGGGGGATTGGTGACTCTATTAGGGCTTCCCAGGCCCTACAGCAGAAGCATGAAGAGATTGAGAGCCAGCACAGTGTGAGAGGCTTTTTCCTCTGCAAGTTACAGTGCAGTTATTCTTGTGCATAATTAGCATAGGTGGTACTAAGTGCTAAGCTGCTGTTAACTTTGTATAGGGGCCTAGAATACAGTTTATTGAATCCTTAGAGGTTATAAGTTTTCATTTTGACCACTTAGTGTACGTTAATTCGAAGGTTGGTTTAGGTTTTACCTGCAATGCAGTTTCATTTTATTGTTACCTCTCTAACACAGTGTAGATGAAATTTTAAAAGCTATAGTGATGGAAAAAAAAAAGAGTACAAAAATAGAGCCTTCATCACTAGTCCCTTCAATAGAAAAGTCTGTTCTTAAAATCCTAGAGGAAGGCCTTCCCTACTTCATTGGGAGCATGCTGTACAACTAAATGCTGGGAATACCACCAGGACTGCAGTGTTACACACAGCTGATGGAGAGGGAGTACAGAGGAGGCAGAGTATCTTCCATTCTCTGTGCATTAGGGGTGACATTTGTAATTGTGAAGGGGATAATTAGACAGATCACAGGTATGGATTGGGAAATAAATCAATCCTTATTCAGATTATAGATAAAATTATTCAAGAGAATTTAAAGTGCAACAACTTGCTATGTGGAAGAAACAGATGTTTATTAAGCTCATGCTTGGTTATAGTTAGTTCTGTATGTGGAGAAAGTAGTCATATAGTTTGTAGATTAGCTAGTTCATCCCCCCTCCCTGAAGCCATATTTCTTTTTATGGTAATTTTAAATAGATTGAATACAAAATTGGAAATATAAAATTTGATCCATTAAATTCTATCTCCTTGGTCTATCCATCTTCAAAAATTGATCAGTAATAGTGTTAAACTCTGGAACAGGTGAGTTTGAAGGGTCATTGAAACATTATATTTTCACAGTGTGTTTCTTTACCCATCAACTCCTCTACTTGAAGTGGTAATAAAAGTTGAACAGTTAAGAAATATATATTTTAACTAAGTATGGTTAAAGAATAAATAATATTCTTTGCGAATAAATTTGAGTAAATCTCATCTTTATTAGAGCTATATTTTAATAATCACTTTATTTTTAAGGAGATACATTCTGTTTACTTTCCTCATATTGCTTTTTTTAGTAATCTTTCTCCAATTAGGTTTTTTTTTTTTTCCTCCCCCAGTCAGGCTTAACTGTCAGTGGCACTGGCCGATAATCTACATAACATAGCCTAAAGGAGTTGTAGTCTAGCCGAGACAATAATATGTAGAAAGAGCTATCACAAGATTTGGAAATCATATAAAGATAGTACATAGGTAGTCTAACATTTCTAATTAGTACCTGTAAGAGACTTGGAAAAATGAAATCCTGGGCTGGGGTGGTAACTCAGTGGTAGAACACTTGCCTAGCCCATGTGAGGCACTGAGTTTGATCCTCAGCACCCCATAAAATAAATAAATAAAATAAAGGTATTGTGTCCATTTATAACTAAAAAAAAAAAGAAAGAAAAAAAATCAAATCCCATATAGTTTATCCATTTCACAGGTTCCAATATGGTTCTTCGTTTTATGGTAAAAAATTAGAATAATTTATATTTGATTTATAAACCCTGTTCCTGAAGTTATGATCTTTTAATTATCTTGTACTTTTAAAAATATTTTTTATTGTATGGACATAATACTTTTATTTATTTATTCTTATGTGGTGCTGAGGATTGAACTCAGTGCCTCACCTATACTAGGCAAGTGCTCTACCACTGAGCTACAGCCCCAGCCCTCTCTTAGGCTTTTAAAATACTGTTGATATTTTTTACATGGATTATGATTTATTTGATTATTCTGGGTGGAACATGTTACTGTAGTATAGATGGTTTCTATAATTTGTTTCCCTGTAAATTTTTGAAAGCAGTATTTGCATAGAATATCAGATTTTATTTAAGAGAATTTAGTCACCAAGTGTTCTGAAAGTCCTCTTAGTAAGGATACATGATACTTGAGGAGCCCAAAGATAGGGTTTATATATGTACTTATTATTTTTAAAAGATACCAAGAGAGTTATAGTTAGAAATTGGATTCTACATATATCATGTATAAATTCACAAAAAGTATTGGAATTACATTTTATATTGTATGTTGTGTGGGTGAAATTACCATCGACATACATAGAGACCCCTGTGTTTAAATGTTTGTTTATGTATACTTTTTATATGAATTTTTAAAATCAGCTTAAAAATAAATTATGTATGGGTATCTCTTTTCATGTGCTTAAGCTTACTTATAATGTGGAAAAGATATACAGAACTTTTATATTGGAAAGGACCTTATAAACTAAAATATCCCTTTCTTATTTTATAGATGAAGAAACAGACTTTTTTTTAAATCAATAAGTTGCTAGACTAGGTTAAAAACATAGACATCCTGATATCTAGGTAGGATCCCTTCACTCTGTCTCTCTCTTAGGGAAAGCTACTAAATTGCATAGATATGCTTAAGATACAATGTATGTATCTATATTTTCTTGCTATTTGAGGACACACATACACATTTTTTTAAATATTTATTTTTTCGTTGTAGTTGGACACAATACATTTATTTTATTTGTTTATTTTTATGTGATGCTAAGGATCGAGCCCAGAGTCTCACATTTGCTGGGCGAGAACTCTACCACTGAGCCACAACCCCAGCCCCATGCACATATTTTGACATCTGTATTCATAGATCTGGACCCCAGAGGAAAAAATATACTCTTGATTTATTGTGGATTTTGTTTCCTTAAATCACGTGTGATATTTGGGATATTGGAAAATTGGAGGGTGGGGACATATTGAATTGGAATATAGTTGAAACAGGATTGACCACAAGTGGGTAATTATTGAAGCTAGATTGCACATGGGACTTCATTATGCTATTCTTTCCACTTTTGAATAGATTTTTAAAATTTTCCATTCTTTAAAAGGTTTAAGAAAAGATAATTGCATTGTTTTAGCCAGTAGGTGGCACTGCATTCATTGTCACCTTAGAATTGTAATGCATTCCACTGTCATATGTAAATTTAAAAAATTTAAAATAAAAAGACTAGGTTGGTGCTGGATGAATGTTAATATATGATGTTTAAGATATTCTAATACTTCTTTTCTCTATTAGTAAAACAACAGCTTCAAGTATTTACTGGAATTGTTCAGGTCTTAGGAAATTTCTAGTATTGATAGTTAACAAGGGTAGAATTTGGAAAACTTTAATAGACCATTTTGTATTGAAGTACCATGTCAAGTATTATGTTTTCCATTCCACATGAAAGTGTAATGCAGAATAAAGCTATCAACTCAAATTTATTAGGATATTTAGCACTAATATAGAAAAATGAAAATCCTCCTGATTTGTAGTTATTTGTGAATGACCGTGAATTAGAAGTTTGCTTGGTTTTTGAATACAACCCAACAAAAAATATCAAAGTGAATAGAAGTGATTGTAGAGTCTGTTTATAAATCTCAAAATATTTGACTACAATGGTAAATATACTTTTACATTTGGGTAGGGTAGGAGTGTGTTGGGAAGAGCACATGCTGGTGCTGTTGCACACGCCTGTAATCTCAGAGGCTGAGACAGAAGGATCACAAGTTCAAAGCCAGCCTCAGCAGTAGCTAGGTGCTAAGCAACTCAGTGAGAACCTGTCTCTAGATAAAATACAAAATAGGGCTGGGGATGCATCTCAGTGGTCGAGTGCCCCTGAGTTCAATCCCTGGTACACACACACAAAAATACATAGCAGGAGAGTGTAGAAGCATGTATTTCTGAAGCTGCCTCTGCATTCTGTCACTGTCCCACCTTCCCACAGTGCTGACTTCTGCCTCCAAAGGGCCCTGTGCTGGTGTGTGGAGCCTAATAGATGGTAATGGAGCAGGTTTACTTGACACATCAAGACCTCTTTGTCCTCAGTATATATTCTAAGTGTATAACATACCCTGGGTTGGCAGTATTTCTTTCCTCCCAGACTGGGATTCCTGTTCTTGGTTTAAAGTGCAAAGTGCAAATGATCATTTCACCAACTATGTATTGACACTGGCTCAACCACAATCATAGTGTCAGTCCTGGCTGTTCATGTTCTAACATTCAAATGCTTTCCCTACTTATCATCTTTTTTTTTTAAGAGAGAGAGAATTTTTAATATTTATTTTTTAGTTTTCGGTGGACACAACATCTTTATTTTATTTTTATGTGGTGCTGAGGATCAAACCCAGCACCTGCGCATGCTTGAGCCACATCCCCAGCCCCCTACTTATCATCTTAATCCAAACCCCAAATCTTGGTGTTGACTTTTTATTTTGCTATAAATTAATAAATTTCAACACAGTAAATGTGTATGAACAGAGTACAAGAATGGCCATAGTAAATTGAATGCAGCTGTTTACCTAAGGTTATATACATTCTATTTTTATGAAGAAACATTATGCCTAATTTTAAACACGTACATATATGTAAGCCAGACCCCCCCATCCTCAGTCCCACATAGGTATAGAGTTTGTCATTTATTTATGACACACTCAATCAGTAACATCAGTAACTCCAATTCTAGGCATTAATTTATTGAGACATATTAGTCTTTATATTGTATTTACATCCCTGGTCACATTGCTAGAACTTACATGTATTTTAAGGTTTCAAACCAGGGCAAAAATCAGCTTCACAGTGGTGGTTCTTAAACATTAATGGTCAAGAATTATCAGAGGTGCTTGTTAAAAATGCAATTTCCAGGGCCCCACCCCAAGAGACTCAGAGGCTGAGGGAAGAACTTGGGTATTTTGATGAACACCCAGGTGTTCTAGTGTAAGTAGTTCTCACTGAGAAGTGCCATCCTGGAATTCTGATCCTTTAGTTTACTACTTTTCTCAGAATCATTGCCACTACTTCAGAGATTTGGATATCTTTATTTAGAGCATTTAGTTAAATTTTAATTACTAAAGATATGAGATATGAGACCATGACAATGATAATTTTCTCAGGTAATATTCTATACTTTTTAAATTGTCAGGCTGCTTAATCATTGTGATAACTGTAGTTTTACAAGTATTTTATGTATATTATTTGATGAAATTCTTACAGCAACTAATAAAGTAAGTATAGCAGGTGTTACTATCACCATTGAATGGAGCAGGTTTCTTAAATTCTGTACCACTAACACTTAAGGCCAGATACAAAATTGTTGTAGGGGCCGGCCTGTGCATTGCAGGACATGTATCCATAACACTAGTCTTATCTGTTAGATGGAGCAGCATCCCTCCTCCTTACTTGGGGTAACCAAACATTCCATGTGAGGCAGAATAATACACTGTTTCCTCTATGATTTAATGCCAACAAATATACAGTGTTTTCTGTGCTTAATGCATTCATTCAGCACGTTAATCGAGCACATATGATATGCCACAGGTTGTTTTAGGCTCTTAGGTTATTGCACAGGATTACCATATGGAATTATAATCATGATGGAGAGGTAAGGAGTAGAGAGGCACTAAAGGTATGGCATTTAAGAAAGCCTCCTCTGAGGAAATGACATTTAATCAGAAACCTCAAGTTGGTATGGAGTAATCCAAGCAAAGGGCCCTCTAGATAGAGGGTATAGCGTGGAAGCACCTCAAGGCAGGAATATGACTAAAGAACAATGAGAAGGTGGACATCACTGGAGTACCGGGAGCAAGACAGAGAGTCACAGAAAATGAGAGGAAGTTAGGGGCCAAAATAAGTAATGTCTTTTTAACCCATGAGCAGGAGCTTAAAGTTTATTTTAAATGTTACATGAGATCAGTGGAGAGGTTTTTGAGACAAAAAATTGATTTATGTTTTGAAAAGATCACTGGCTATCGGGTGGATATAGGGAGGGGGGACAAGCAGCATAAATGGAAGACTGGAGCTCTTGGAGTGGAGGTGGCAGAAGTGGTAGGAAGTGTTGGGCTCCCGAGGTTGAACCAGCAATTCTTGCTGGTGGAAGACTCAAGCTCTGGGAATTTTTTGGTAACTTGACAAGATTGGTTTTAGAAGAGTGGGAAATACAAAATCCTGACTTAGAATGAATTTTAAAAGAATAGGGAATGAAACAAAGAATATTATCTTTTAAGGAAAGTTTTTTTTTGTTTGTTTTTTTGAGGTTTAATGTACAGAATTTTAAAATGTATAGATCCTAAAGCGTGTATTTTGTTCAGGATAGGTGTTACAGCTTGCTTATGTGCTGATGGAAATAATCCAGTTGAAACAGAAGAATTGATCAAAGAGAAAGAGATGATAGTTGCAAGAGCAGAGTTGTGCACAGGCAGCAGAAGAGAGGGTATCATGCTCTGGAGGAGTGTTGGCCTCAGGAGCAGGGCCCCTATAGAGTGGGGAGGCAGAGCACAGGGCTATAGGAGGGAAGGTTGTAGATTTGTTGGTGGGAAGATGAGACTGTTCTCTTTTAATTGCATCCAGAGAATTAAGAAGTTCTTCTAGAGTAAAGAGGTAAAAAGGGAGTTGGAGACTTAAGGAGTGAAAAAAAAAAAAATCACGAGAATGGGAAAGTGAATTGCTTAGAGAAACCTGCAAGGATTACTGAACCTCTGTTTGAGATTATTTAGCTATAACTTAAAAAAAAATATGCACAGACCATCCGTCATGTATCGCTTAATTGGAGCATACTCTAAGAAATGCATCATTAGGTGATTTTGTTGCTGAATGAGCAACATAGAGTGCACTTACAGGAACTAGGACAATTATGATGTCGCCAGGCTGTGTAGTCTTACAGAACCACCATCACATGTGTGGTCCATCGTTGACGGATGATATGCAGGGCATGTCTGTGGTGGTTTTTACCTAGCTGTGTTCAGCCACTCTGGTACAGGCACACAGTAGGCAGAGAAGCCAGGTTTGAGGTTTCAGTAGGTGAATTTGATGGAAGGTAGGAGGGCAGGTGTGGTGGGCCAGGGTTGTATGTCGGGAGGTGGTTGTAGCTTCTGACCAAGGGTGAGAGGCTGCCAAGTGCTGCAGTGTCAGACATGAAAGGAGAATAAATCAGTGGACCTCTGGGGGTGTAGCTAAAAGAAGGGCATTGGAGTCAGTATCTGATGAAAGAATGGAATTCACAAAAGTGAGAGTTTAGAGTTGCATAGTAAGCAGTACATGATGACAGGCTTTTAGGGCCAGTGGAGTAGGTAGCTGAGGTGGGGTGAGGATGCAGTAGTGGAAGTGAGGGAAACAGTCGAGGAGCTGAGTCCAGAGTGTTGGTGCATGTGTACATGGAGGCCATCACCAAGAAGGCTGGCACAGAGAGGAATGCAGAGAGGAACCCTCAGGGGGATGAGGGGATACCACAGGAAAGGCTGGAAGGGCGTAATCCAGCATCTTGCATTTCACAGGTTTTCCAGACAAGAGGGGGGAAAAATGGTTTGAAATAGTAATGAGTCAGCCCACTTCTGGGCTTGTGTATGTTGGTGTGGAAATAAAGATAGCAACCAGTTTAGGGGGCTGCAGAGGTAACTGTGCACTGTGAGGGTGAACAGGTTTTACTTAGAGCGTATGAAGGAAGGGAATATCTAGAAGCCAGACTGAGGACACAGGATACTACCATTGGCAGGCAGTGAGCTCCAGGGATCATGATGGACGGATGTGGGGAAGGATAGGGATTTTACATTCTCTACTTAAACAGTGTTGCTTTATAAAAGTGTTCATGTGTATGTTACTTAGTTTGTCTGGAGAAATGATAAAATGTGTCCTCCAGGAGCTAATTTGATCCTTAATATACTTTGTGATCTCTCTATTACAGGAATGGTTTGCAGTATATGTGGAGCTTAATCAGCAAATTGCCGCACTCTTGAATGCTGGGGATGAGGAAGATCTTGTGGAACTGAAGTCACTACAGCAACAACTTAGTGATGTTTGTTATCGGCAGGCCAGTCAGCTGGAATTCAGGCAAAATCTCTTACAAGCAGCTCTTGAATTTCATGGTGTTGCACAAGATGTAAGTGTCTACTCTGATCGATTCTCTTTTCCTCAGATAATCTGAACAATCCACACATAATTTTTGCAGGTTTGCATGTCTCCTCTAATTATTTTCCTTGAACAATAATATAATTTACTGGTGGGGGTAACGTGATAAAATTTTCTGATTTAACAAATGATTCTAAGTCATTCTGCATGCAATTAAACCTTTGATTGTCTAACTAAAGTATTCCAAACCAGTAGATATATTTCATTTTGACTGTTCTTCAAAATGTATGCTTTTTAACATAGATGGAAATGGAAGTGTCAATAATTTTTTTGCACTCTGCTGACCTGGATGTTCTCCTTTGTCTTTCTGGCGCATGCATCTGTGTGTTCCATCTTCTAGATAACATGTACTCTGATTATTTGTTCTTGTCTTTTAACAGCATAATGTTTTCAAGTGTAATTGTGATAACCTCATTAGATAAACCTCATTCATCATTAAACACTTTAGATGCTGATTACATCAGGGTTGTCTCTTTGGTGTCCCTCTGCTTTAGTTGTCTCAGCAGTTGGATGGCTTATTAGGGATGTTGTGCGTAGATGTAGCACCAGCTGATGGAGCATCGATTCAGCAAACTTTAAAACTGCTTGAAGAGAAGCTGAAAAGTGTTGGTAAGCAGATTTTAAAAATGCTGAAACATAAGAGTTCTTTTAAAAAAAAATATCATTATCATGGTTACACAATTAAGTCAGCTTATACTGAACTAATTATTATTTGCAGGGAACACAGGAAAAAGTAGTATTAAAGGGGTTTTATTCCCTTGAGTGAGTCTAATTTTTGCTAAAAATTTTTACTTTTCATTGTGATTAGGCACTCCTCCCTTCATTGGGCCTTTGGCCTTTTTGTTTACTACAGGTGCTATATCTTGCATATCCTAGGAACAGTGAAATTATTTGTAGTGCATGCATAAACTGTAATTAGTTGTGAAGTGTTCTGTGGTAAACTCTGTATGCCCCGAACTGTGTTTTATGCAATGATTTTTGTTGTTGCTATATCCTAACCTTGTGAAAAAATAGTTGGTTTGGTTCTGTGCATTTGTTTCTCTGCCTGGGAATATGGTCAGGGTTACCTAGTTTCTAAGGAGGGAGTGGTCCCATTTCATTAAGCTAGCTCTTAATGAAAGCTCTGTTACTTTTGTCATCAGGACCTTTTAAACGTTTCCACAGTAAGAAATGCAGTGAACTTTCCTAGGCCAAGATGTGAAAATGGGAAGGGACTGTCCATTGAGGGAAGGAGCAGAGGAAGCAGATGTAGAAAGTGGTGACATGTGATCAAATCAGATTAATTAATTGTGGAAAACAGTTTCAGGGAATTGGTTTCAGAAAAACATTTTTTGTATTGACATTTTATTTGCTTGTAGCCTAATTGTTAGTTTAACAGATGACATACATAGTATATATTCAATACACCAAATGAAATTTATTTTAAAATATCAGTAGTTTCCTTAAGTCATACTTTTCCTTAAAAAAAAAGAAGAGAATTTCTCTACACATGTCTGACTTGGAATATTGTAAATATATCCTAATGTTGCTCCTGTGGTGCGTAAGTTGGGCTTGACTTACAGCGTTCGGCATCCCTTTACACTGATAATACACCATGTGAGTGTCTTGAAATCTCACAAATTTTACACTGTTTTTAAACAAAATATTTACATTGTTGTCCTAAAAATAGGAACACATGAAACAGGGAAAAAAAATAGAAAAATTTATTTGTCAAAATAGAAATTAACATACTTTCTTCCTGCTTTCAGTTTTTAAAAGAAATTATTATCTATGGAGATTTGTGTTTTAAACATTCCCTTTAGGGAGAATTTGGTTTGAGAGCTCTCCATTTAAAAGGATTTTATTCCTTGAGATGTTCGGAGGACTCCATCCTAATGTGGTTTAATATATAAAGATTTTATGCTTGGATTCCAAGTGCAGTATCTGCTGAGAGGATTTATTTGAGGGAGGGAAAAACACCTTAGTTAAGAGATTAAATCTAATAACTTTTATTTTAGATGTGGGATTGCAAGGTTTGCGTGAAAAAGGTCAAGGTCTGCTGGATCAGATCTCCAATCAGGCGTCCTGGGCCTATGGAAAGGATGTAACCATTGAAAATAAAGAAAACGTGGACCACATACAAGGAGTGATGGAAGACATGCAACTTAGGAAACAAAGGCAAAGTTTGACTGTTAATGTTAATTTTACCAAGACAACATACTAACTAAAATGAAAAATTGTATAATTTATATTTTACATACAAACTAAAGGTTCTTACCTGTTGTATAGTAGGCATGTAATAGGCTTTTGATGAATATAATAGTTATTATATATAATTTTACAACAAATTAATGACAATTTGTTCAATTACCAGGTATCTTTCCCTCTTTTACTTAATAGTGAAATTTTGAGTTATACTAAAGTGCTTAACATTCTGTACCCTAGGACTCTGCTTTGCTTTGCTATAAGAAAATCTTTTTGGAGAAACTTACATTTCCGTTTTAGTTTAGAGTTGCTGTTAAATCTGCCATCTGTATTGATCTAATTCTTCATGTCTGTTTCTTATGAAATGTCACACTTGTTTGTGCTCATGTTTGCTGTACAGGGATTAGACACAGTGGACTAATGTTGATGCTCACTTTGATATAGGACTAGGAATTCAAGGGATTCTTTGAAAACATAATTTGCAACAGCCATTGCAAAGTGAAAGATCAGAATCACATAGGCAAGCGTACATAACCTAGCATGGTTGTATCAAAACTTATACACTTAGAAATGTTGAGGTCATCAACAGAACCTCACAGAAACTCTCCCCTACAAAAGTAGACAGTCACGAGGCTGGAATTCCTTCTGCACTTGTCCTGAATCTGCGGATTCCTCCCCACAAAGGGAGAGCCATCCTCTGAGAAAGGATCCTGCCTTTTAGGTTCTGATTTACCGTCTTCATTAACTCCCTTTCTCTATTCTGAGTCCTGCCCCTCACTTAAATGCTCAACTGTCTCCTGTTGGAATATAATGAAGTACGTTCCTGGTATGACTGAATGAAGAGGTCCATCTTCCTTTCATCCCTTTGTCTTCTGGCATTAAGCTCTTCCTCACAGCTAAGTTGTTTGCAGGTCTAAACTGCATTCCTTACTAACTCCATCTTACTTTTTATCCTCTTGAGCCTGACTTCTGACCTCCACTTCACTCCTTTTGTTCTCATTGGTGTTACCAACAAGACCTTATGTGATAAACATTGATCTTGTTCAAAATCCAGAGAATGTTTTAGTCCGATCTGCTTGATTATGAATGGCACTGGACACAGCTTATAGGTTCTCTTCCAGACTCCCTGACAGCTGTGTCTTTCTGAAACCATGGTCCTCCTCCTGGCGCTGTTTCTTGTTAATTTTCTTCTCAGATTTCTTGTTCTGTAACTAAACACTGCTTCCAGGGCTTGTTCTGAGGCCAAATTCTCTTCTTATTTGCTCTCTCTGCAAATCTCACTACTTTAATGATTTTTAAAAATATCATGTGGTTGGATAGTTGCAGCGCTTTCTAAGCCCTCTCCTGTGCTCCAGACTCAGTTCCGGTCACCTGCTCCATGTCTCCAGTGGGATGCTCTATGTGCTCCTCCAAGCCTGTTATCTTCAGATTAGAATCATTTTCTATATTTTTTTAGTTTCATTGATTTTATTTTTTTAAATACACGACAGTGGAATGCATTACAATTCTTATTAACACATATAGAGTACAGTTTTTCATATTTTTGTATAAAGAGTATGTTTACGCTAGTTCATGCCTTTATACATGTACTTTGTTGTTTTTTTTTGTATTATAATTCTTATTACACAAATATACCACAATTTTTCATATCTCTGTTGGTATATAAAGTATGTTGACACCCAATTTGAGAAACATTTTCCTCCAAAACTTGTTCCATGCTTTGAATTTCTTATTCAGGGTAAAATTACTGTCAGCTACAAAACATGGAATTTATCCTAAAGTCCTTCATCTTCCTCATTCCTTATACCTAGTCAAATATTCAAGTGTTGTTGTTGCTGAATCCCACGATTTTTTGTTCAATATTTTAGATCTCAAGTTCCGCTGGTCTTGCTCTTCTTCAGTCTGGTATGCAGGAGTAATCCGCATGGAGTACAAGAATGGTGTTAAACCTCCTTCTGGGACTTTCTCTTTTTTCAGATGAAGTACAGTCTTACTGGAATGGCCGGAGACCTTTTCTTATCCACTTCTGCAGAGTCTCATGCTTTTCTAACTTTCCCACTAAATTGTATGGTTCTTTTCAGTTTCCTTGAGAACATCACGTTGTTTCATCCATCACCGAGAGTATTGCTTTTCTCGTTTTCTATCTAGCAGATTCCTACTTATCTTCCAAGACTCAGATAGACTTATCTTAGGAAGTCTTAGGATTTCTAAGGCAGGTTAGTCACTTACTCCAATTAAACCTTTTTTGTGACTCCATTATATCATTTGTCACATTGTATAAAGTTCATCTCCCAAATTGGAACTATCTTTTTAAAAATTTTTTAAAATTTTTTTAGTTATACATAACTGTAGAAAGTCTTTCAACATATCATATATACATGGAGATAACTTCCTATGTTTGTAGTCATACGTGATGTGGAGTTACACTAGGTTGTGTATTCATATATGAACATATGAAAGTTGTGTCTGATTCATTCTACTGTCTTTCCCATCCCCCCTCCCCTTATTCTCACTCTGCCCTGTCCAATTTAGACCTTCGCACACATTCACCCCCCATTATGAGTATCATCTTTATATCAGAGAGAACATTCAGCCTCTGATTTTTGGGATTGGCTTCTTTCACTTAGCATGATAGTCTCCAATTTCATCCATAAATGGCAAGTGCCATAATGTCATTCTTCTTTATGGCTGAATAATATTCCATATGGATATATACCACGTTTTCTTTCTCCAGTCATCTGTCAGAGGGCACCTAGGTTGGTTCCATAGTTTAGCTATTGTGAATTGAGGTGTTATAAACATTGATTTTGCCATGTCACTATAGTATGCTGATTTTAAGTCCTTTGAGTACATGCTGAGGACTGGGATAACTGGGTCAAATGATGGTTCCAGTCCAAGTTTTCTGAGGAATCTCCATGCTTCTTCCAAGTTGGAACTATTTTAATAGCAGAGAAAATGTTTCATTTTCCCTATAACCTGGTACAACTCTTGAATATATATTTTGATATCTTTATCATTTAGGTGTCTTACATTAAGTTCATTTGGCTTATCTTCTTGATGATAAGTTTCAGATTTTAAAAATAATTATCATCACTTCTCTTTAATACCTTATAGAATTACTTTACACAAGTTGCATCTTAATATTATGCTATGACTTTTATTGATACTATCTCCCTAATAGCCTGTGATAACTCTGGAAGGACCATTCTTTGTTGTTATTAAGCTTTCTTTAAGGACATCAACTGTAGGAGAGCCCAGTGCCTGTTGGGTAACTTCTTGTTGATATTTGGGACTGCAATAGGAGTCCCCCTTATCCTCTGCAGCACGTGAATTGCATGGGAGTGAAGGAAATTGGTCAGAGTTGAGATAGATCAAGATACTTTTATTGTTTCAGCCATATATTATCCAAGCATACTGCAGAGAGATTAGAAAATGCTCTGAATTGTGTTCCTTTCACCCAAACATCAATGGAGTTCTTTCCCCACCTTTAAGAATGTAAATGGAGAGTTTAAAAAGGAATTCAGTTTTAACTATTATTCCAGCTAGTATAATTCAGTGAAAAGTATTAATTTAAAAAAATTTCCTTGGAATATTATCCCTAAAGCTAGTAGTTGAGAAACTTCACATTTTTTAAAAGATTTTTTTAAAGATGGACACAATATCTTTATTTTATTTATTTTTATGTGGTGCTGAGGATTGAACCCAGGGCCTCACATGTGTGAGGCAAGTGCTTTACAGCTGAGCTATAACCCCAGCCCTGAGAAACTTCATATTTTTATCAATGAAGCTTGTTTGATGCTAATTGTCAGTGGCAGTTTGTTTGGGTTGTAGTTACTATTGCATTTATACTTTGCTTCAATATTTTACAGAATCTATGCTATCCTCAAAAGGGTTTGTCTTTCAGGTATTTTGAGGTTTTGATGTAACATAGATATAGAATAGATATCCTTAAACTTACAAAGCAACACATGCAGTTTCCATAGTGTAGGACTAAATATTTTAGTATATTATAAAACACATGTGCCAGATGATGATGTTATTGTGGAAACCAAAACAATAGACTAAATGTATGTTTGGATTTATTAGATGTGAAGACATGGTAGATGTGCGAAGGTTAAAGATGCTTCAGATGGTGCAGCTGTTTAAATGTGAAGAAGATGCTGCTCAGGTAAGGACCAGACGGCCACATTATATGGCTATCACTTCTTAGAAGAACAATTTCATCTAACTGTGAACAAAAGTATACTTCTTATGTTCCTAAGAAAGTAAATTCTTAATCAAATCTAGCTTATCCTGTTGAAGAATAAAATTTGGTTCTTCTAGCTAGCTTACTGATTTCATTTGGCTTATCCTCTTGATGAAATCCTCTATTGTGTTAGAGATTGGAATTATTTATTAATATTATTATTGACTAGTAGTTTGTTAGTTACATTCCAGAATAAAGGCAATTGTAGCACATTGCTTTCTAACCCACAGGAGAACTTCCAATGCTAGACAGTTTGATATTTTTATGAAGTTAGTATTAGAACATTCTTTCATCTTTGATGTAGAAGAATTTATGATTTTTAACAGTGACATGCATCTGTAATGAGATCCTAGTAAGTCTGTTCTACAGAAATGCATGATATTCTATTATGTGATGTGTATTTTAAGAGTGCTTCTGTAGTAGGCTTTGCCTTCAGAGTTTAAGAACATTTGAGAGTAGGAGAAGAATCTGAGGAGCATTGGATCAAATGAGCCATTGAAAACTAGTTATAATTAATGGACTAACCAACCATAGTATAGCAATTTTTGTATATGTGATGTTTTGATGTAAGTAATAAAGAATTATGAATGCAGCTTCACTGTTTTGTATTTTTATTTAGGCGGTTGAATGGCTAAGTGAACTTCTGGATGCTCTACTTAAGACCCACATCAGATTGGGTGATGATGCTCAGGAAACGAAAGTTTTACTGGAAAAGCATAGAAAATTTGTTGATGTTGCACAGGTGCAGAACTGGTTATCTTCCTTTTCTACAAGCTCAGTGTTTGAATAGCTTTCTGCATGATTATAATGTAACTTAACCCTCCAAGTCCAAGAAGGTTAGTTTTGTTATTCCAGAAATATCACAGAATTAAGAAAATGTCAGCTGGTGCATCAAAACTATCCTGCATAAACTTGAGAGGGTTTAAATTGCCACAAACACAGGTTCTGTATGCTCCCTCTGATATATGTTACACATTATGGTATTTTTAAGACAATCCAATATTCATTCATAGAAGCTAATATGAAATGTATATTAATAGCACTAAATTAGAAACCCCACTTTTTGTATTTGACTTATGTTAGCACAATAATACAAAGTTGGTTTTGTGCTGAAAAGTATCTTAATGTATTTTCCCTGTTGATTTCATTCACATTGTAATAGGTAGTACTTCCTATGTGGACTATCATGAGACTAGTTTCACTCACTTGTTTTGGTAATTAACGAGCTGTGGAATTTTGCCAGTGGAATTTAGCAGAGATGGGGAAAACCTTAAAAAAAAGAAGAAACTTATAAACTAAAAATATTACTTCCCCTTCATTACTTATGCATGTAGATCATTTATAGTAATAAGTGACACTAGATTCATTCAGCATTAATTTCCAGTGGTCTTACTTAATTGCAACCAGTCTCCCAAAACCTTTCTCCTCCTCTTCAGAATTTTTTTATTATAATTCTATGTTTCCTTTTTTTTTTTAGAGTACTTATGATTATGGTAGACAGTTGCTGCAGGCCACAGTTGTGTTGTGCCAGTCTTTACGATGCACCTCTCGGTCTTCTGGGGACACACTTCCTCGACTGAACAGGGTGTGGAAACAGTTTACAATAGCGTCCGAAGAGAGAGTACATAGGTTGGAAATGGCCATTGCATTTCACTCAAATGCTGAAAAGGTTTGCCCCTTTTGAAATATAATCTCAGTATTATTTATTGTATATGTTTAAAATGTATGCATTAATAATGTAATGTTCAGATTAATCTATTGGTTAAAAATTGTATGAGTTTCATTATTAACATTGGTTTATATAAAATACATGGTCTTATATGTCCAAATTAAATTTCCTTAATCCACTCGAGTGTTGGAGGACTATGGTTGGAGAACCCCAGAACCTCACTTTGCTCTGCTCCTCTCCTCTCCGAGCTGATGTCCACAGGTGCTCTGTTCTCTAGAGTGTCATTACATCAGTCTCTTTCTTTATACCAGGAAAGGAAACTTGGCTTTGACAACAAGTACTAATTGTCACTTTTTTTTTAAACTGGTGATTCAGCCCAGGGCACTTTGCCACTAAGCTACATCCCCAGCCTTTTGCCTTTTTAAAAAATTTTATTTTGAAACGGGATCTTGCCAAGTTGCCAAGGCTGGTGTCCAACTGCAGTCCTCTTGCCTCTTGTCTCAACCTTCTGAGTTGCTGGGATTATAGGCCTGCACCACCACATCTGGCTAATTGTCACAAATTTTTAAAAAGTCACTTTGTGATTTTATAACTTAAGGTATAGGCTGTTCAACTAAAATAATGAGAATAGGAATTAAAAGAAGAAAAAAACCTTTTTCCATATGTTATCTCTATACTTCATTCCCTAATTTATTATTCATTGAATTCCAGAAACCAACAGTAAAATTTATAGTTTCATTTGGACACATTTACTTGGGATGGGCAGATTTTTAATAGAATCTTTTTCTTACATATTGTACCCAGCCTTACATTTCCATTCTGAAGAGGAGCTTTGCTTTATAGTTAACTTTGTTCTGATTTCTTAACATTGAAAGTTTATCTATAGGGATGTTAAATATATTTTAAGATACCCTGCATATGTTTAAAAATGTGTTAATTCTAATAATGTAATTATCTGATTAATCTATTTGTTAAATTTTGTATGAATTCCATTATTGACATTTGTCTGCATATACTAACTACCTTGTCTTAGATGTCCAAGTTAAATTTCCTTAATCCACACTAGGAAAACCTAAGTTGTGATGCCTAAGTGGCAACCTGGTCTGTAGAACAGAACAGTTGTTGCAAGAGTTAAGCCATCTTTGTTTTCTTCTCTCTCCCCAAGAAGTTTGTATTTTTTTTTCTTGTAATTAAATTTAAATGGTGTAACTCAGAGGAGAAAAAAAAGAATAGCATGTCTTCAGGGGTGTTAAAGCTTCCTAAATTTGAGTGAAAAGCAGTAAATTCAGCAGATGAGTTACTAAAGTGCCTGCCTATCTCTTCTCATCAATTACATGTTTGTGCTCTAAGTATATGTTGCTTCAAATTCTTATTTAGCTGCACACACCTGTAATCCCAGTGGCTCAGGAGGCTGAGACAGAAGGATCATGGGTTCAAAGCGAGCCTCAGCAAAAGTGAGACCCTAAGCAACTCAGTGAGACCCTGTCTCTAAATAAAATACAAAATAGGGCTGGAGATGTGACTCAGTGGCTGAGTGCCCCCGAGTTCAATCCCTGGTACCCGCCCCTCCAAAAAATTTATATTTAATTTCTGAAGTCTATGAGCTTCCTAAGGACAGACAGATTGTATCATTCATTCACATACCAAGATGCTAAATAAACATACAGTAAAAGTTTTTAAGAAATGGTTGCCTATTGAGTGAGAAAATACTTCTTAAGCACAGGCCAAACTTATTTTCCAAATAGTAGTCTACTTATTTTTTCTTGAAAATCACCATAGACCATTTTGTACTCTAATTATATATTATTAGTAGGGATTATATATTTCATTTTTTATTAGAATTTCTTGAGCCATTTTTACTAGTAATAATTCAGCTTTGAATAGTGATGTACATGAAGATGCTACGAATAAAACAAAAACCACCTTTTCCACTTACTTCATTTGCATGAACTTGATTTCCTTTTTTTGTCTCTTGATTGAGGTTGCCCTTTTGTTTGTTGCAGATTTTACAAGACTGTCCGGAAGAGCCTGAAGCTATTAATGATGAGGAGCAATTTGATGAAATTGAAGCAGTTGGGAAATCACTTTTGGATAGATTAACTGTTCCTGTAGTTTATCCTGATGGGTATGGTGCATGCTTTCATATAATTTTATCTTTTCTTTTTTGTTGTTGTTGTAGGTGAACACAATATCTTTATTTTACTTATTTATTTTTACGTGGTGCTGAGGATTGAACCCAGTGCCTCACACTTGATAGGAAAGTGCTCTATCACTGACTGAGCTATAACACCAGCCTGGAAAAATCTATTCTTTAAAAAGTAAAGAAAATTAAGTTTGGTTCACATCTTCAATTGGTTTAAACTGAAAAAAATCCAAGCTTAGCTGTTAGCAGAACTCACAGTTGGTGCTTGCTGACATCAGATGTGTTTCTTCTTGACAGCTTGTTGTAGAAAGACCATTGCTGACTAGACTGAGGCCCATGGTTTTAGCTTGGCTGTGAGGACAGGAGCAGTGTGACTTTGGGCTTCATTTAGGAAAGGGAAGGCATGGGAAAAGGACTGATGTTTAGTGAGCTTGAGTTAAACTCTTCACGTTCACAGACAGTGCCAAGGCCTGTATCATTATTCCTGATTTAGAAATGAAGAGACTAAGACTCTGAAAGATTAATTAGGCTTCTGTGTGTTGGAGTTAGGAGATGCTCTCAGGTGTGTGGGACTCCAAACCCATTGTCTTTTCACTGTTCTACATGGCATCCTAATTTTTTCATGTGTAAAATGATGGCATCCTGATTCTGACATGCTGTTTCATTTCAAATGGTCCAGAATAATTAAGAATAATTAATAATCTGATGCAAAATAAATGGGCCAGTAAAAGTCTCAGAAGGAACTTCCTCCCTGGTGATCTAGACTTTCTCAATCAAAGTAATTTAGAGGTAGTCCAGAGGATATTTAATTCAAATGATACAGAAACCAAACCATCAAATGAAAGTTCAAGTGTCCTTACTTTGTGTTAGAGTGTGTTGGAGGCGAGTGCAGACTCTGGTACCAGGGATCCTGGGCTCCACCTCTTACCAGCAGTGACAACTTGGGCAAGGTACTCCACTTCTTAGTGCCTCGGTTCCCTCATCTGAAAACAGGATGGGACAATTGTGCTTCTTCACATTATAGGAGCAGTGGTGTTCTCTACTATTAAATGTGTGGAAGTATTCAAAACAGACATGAGACATATTAAGCTATTGCTGTGTCATGAACTTCTGGTAATAATTGGAGATTGATATTTAAAAGATACTATTTCATTACCTTGAAAGAAGATTATACATGATGTATACTTAATCTCTAGTCATACTAAACTTGCACTATCTGAAGACATATTACACATCTGTAATAAAAGAGAACAAAATTCAGCTAGTAATAGTATTGTAGGGGCGATTCTGGCTCTTCTGTGCCAGGGACCCTCACCCCTCTCCTGAGTTCCCAGTTGTCACAGTCAGTTATCACACTTCTTGGGTCAGTTAGGAGCATCTGCCCTTGGTGATTTTACTTGGACTTCTCTTCCTGTGTTCCATGGGTAGCCCAGATGTCATTTCTTCTTAAGATAAAAGAAAAGAACTGTATATTCAAATTTCACAAGCACTCACTTTTAATACTTGTGGTTGTTATTTTATTCCATTTTATATTCATATATATCCACGCATATGTGTATACATTTATATATGCATTTATATATTGGTATATGGTATTTTGTTACACTAAATATGTCTCTCAAATGATCTCAGTTGTATTTTCCATAATTACTAATACAATAATAATAATCTGTTTTTGTTATGCAAAGTTTATATGACAGATTATTCAGATTTATCTTTTAAATAAATTGTCCTGGTAAAATAAAAGCAATTAATGGTCTTTCTGGATTTCCCCCACTGCCCCCCAAATCCTGGTTTATTTTTTTCCCCATTGTGTGACCTTGGTTAAATCATTCTAGGCCTTTTTTTTATTTTGTTCATTTGATGGTGCTGGGAATGAGACCCAGGGCCTCACATATCCTGTGCATACATTCTATCACTGAACTTGACTCCCAGCCCTAAGCCTTAATTTTTTGATCTAAAAAACAGAGGTTAACCAGGAATTTCCAAAAACCCTTCAAGCTCTGACTCTGAATGTAGTATCTTTGCAAATAATAGAAAATGAAATTACTTTTGTCTATTAATGTACCAAACCATGTCTTTATATTTTTTTGTGTGAGTGTATGTGTGCTAGAGATTGAACTTAGGGCTGGTGCATGCTAGACAAGTGCTTTACCATTGAGCTACATTTCCAGCCCTTTTAAAATTTTGCTAAGTTGCCCAGGCTGGCCTTGAACTTGCAATTCACCTGCCTTAGCTCCTTTAAGTAGTAGAGATTACCACTACTCGAAGGAGCTGTTTGACCTTACCTGGCTCCAAACCATATTTTAATATCAAAAATAATTCTTTACTTGCCTGCTTTATTCAATAATTGCTGTATGCAGCTCTTAGCATGCAAGTACAGATTTTACGTTGATGTTTGCTTATGGACCCAGAACTGAAAGGCAGAATATTGCCAGTGTTGCTTCATTTGTTTTATTGACTATCATAAGTATAAATGATATAACATTTATTTATATTTAACATTTAACTCATCATGTCTTAACATATTTTTTTGCTGTTTAAAAAGTATTTTTCCTACAGCATTACCCTCAAGAGATAAACATTTTGGACTGTGAATGAAATAATTTCTACCCAGAGGTCATATTATATAGACTCTTCTTAATGGCATTTCCCCCCCCTGTTGCATGTGCTGCACTTAAATGAATTTGTATTAATCCGGGATTTTTCTGTGTTTTGATTTTAGAACCGAACAATATTTTGGGAGTCCAAGTGACATGGCTTCTGCTGCAGAGCACATCAGAGACAGGATGAAACTAGTTAGTCTCAAAAGGCAGCAGCTGAGACATCCTGAAATGGTGACCACAGAGAGCTAATAGCTACCAGCGTCCCACAGACCTACAGTTCACATTCCCGCATGTTGTCGGCATTCTGCAGCATTAGCCACAGTCCATTAAGACACATCTCACAGCAGGATAAGCCTCATTTCTTCCCACAACACGTTTCTCTCTACATGCTAACACCTCGCAACTACCAAGGCATAATTATTTAATATGCTTTGAGATCATAGACTCCAGGTATCTTAAAAGAAGGAAACTGTAAACATTGCACTGAAATCTTGCTTTCAAGCTTTACATGACCTGTCAGTTTGTAGATGAACAACTGATAATAAGCTTTGAATGGTGCTAATAAGAGTTTAGGAATTCTCCTTATAAAAAATGGTCGCCCTTCCTCCCCAGGTGTGTAGTAAATTTAGACTGTAGTTAAACTATCATTAGTAGATTTTGGCATCCTCAAAATTTTACTTTGTAATTCTTTAAGATTGATTATTTTTATTGTGTCAATATGAAGAACATCGTTCAGATCTTTGATATATCATATTCATTAAAAACATTTTCCTATTTGTATTGATAATGTATTAAAGTTGTTTGTGCTTAATAAAAGGCTTCTTTAAACATCTTATTTAATTTGGTAGTTATATCCTATTTTCAAACATGAGTGCCTTATCAAAAAGGGCATTCTTAGAACTGTGAGGATGGTTTAATAATTGTTTTTTCAAGGTTGTTGCATGTATTTTAGCCAGAAAATTCATATGTATGCATGTGTATATAATAAATAAGCATGTTTTATCATGAAAAATAATTGTGAAGAATAATTTAGATCTTTAAGAACTTATTAATAATGGGATACTATTTCAGAGTTTTCTTTTCTTCAACTTCAAAAATTTTATCCAAATTATTAACTATCCTGAAGATATTTTGTCTTTGGGAGAGGAGGGCTAAGGAAGAAGGCATACATAATTACTTCAGTGTAATCCTTTATATCAAAGTAATCTTTCTGGAACTAAAATAGTAATTGTTAATAAAATTTAATTTCTCATGACAGACTAGAGGCAAAATCATTTCTGAAGTAGTCTAATAACAAAAACCGTACGACTCCTTTAGAAATAAAATTTATCACAAAATGATAGTGTTTTTACATTTGTATTAAGTTTAAATTGTAAAATGCATATAATTTAATTTTTGTGTTAATTTTTATGCCAGAAGATTTTTTAAAGATGAAAAATAATTTTTTAGACTTGTGATCAGTACAACATTATGCAAAGAATTATGTGCTGGTTCCTTTTCATGATCCACAAACAAGTTCATGTATCTCTGATGCAAAAACCTCCCTCTGAACCTTCTGGTTTCTCCAGCCTTCTTCACTGCCAGACTTCTTGAAGAAGTCCATATCCCTTGCCCTACATCGTCATTTCTCCTTGCAGAGCATCTTGCAGTCTGGTTTCACACAGCACTCTAATGCCTTTTGAAAATCAGGAATGGTTTTCCACCTACTGAGCTGAGTGTTGTTTTTTCTCAGCTGGCATCTCTAACCCTTCCATTTATAAAATTGAACAACCTTTCCTAGGCAGCATCTCCTCCCTCGAAGATGCTATCCTCTGCCATAACTGTGAGTACAGTCACATAATTCATCTTTAAAATGTGTACTAACCATGTGTGCTCTTAGATTCTGTCCTCAGAATGCTTGTGGCTCTTCTTTAGGTATCTCCTCCTTAGGGTTTCTGTTTTATCACAGCATCGTGCATCACATATCTGGTCCAAAACACTAGACTTGTTCTTTCAACTGCCTGCTTAACATTTCAGCCCAGAGGAAGGATTTCTCCTACTGCTCACCCTGTCCTCCTGGCATAATTTTGTTAGTTAATGGTGCAGCCCTTTATCCTAGTCAAACATGCCAGATAATCTGGGGAAAAATTCAACTGTTCCTTCTTGTCTTATGCTACCACTGCTTCTGAGAACATCAAGGAAGTTCTTTCTGTACTTGATAATCCTCTCAGCTTTTTAGTACTTTACTCCTATGAGTATGAACTTTTGTGATTCTTCTTTTGGTCTTCCTGATGGTGCTAGCCACATTCTATACTTCTATGTAATATTCTGCTACGTTATAAGCTCTTTTGAGGGAAAGATCTTGTCCTACTAGTTCAGTTCCCAGGGTTTAACTCACATGGAATAGTTGTTTACTCCTACATGGGTTCCGTTTTAATCACTGAAAATAATCCCTTTCATATTTCAACCTGAAGTTTGTTTTCAGCATACTCATTTCCTAACGTTAAGACTGAGGAGTACATCACCTTGCAAGGAAGTCATTTGGTATTTTATATATTTAGTTGTGTAGCTACTTCAGATATTTAGTAGGTTCGTCATCTTTTACTAAATTTCAGAGTTGTTAGAATTTTTTTATCAAGACTTTCTTAAAAGAAGAACTGATTTGTTAGTATTTAGACCATCAACTCACGGATTCAAAATTGCCATTTTTTATATATTTTAAACGCTCCTGCCCACAAAAAGAGTATAGTAAGACAAAAGTTGGAAATGTTATTTGTAATTTGAATATTTCACATAAGCTAGATATACTTTTAGCAAAAATAAATACCGTTGTTCTTCATTTGTAAATTTGCTGCTGTTTTCTATATATGTTTCTGTACATACTCGTAGAGTTACGAATGAAAGCCCAACAGTGCCCAGATATGATTTTTTTCATGTGGTCATAGTTCACGTACAGCGCATGTGAAGGAGGCAGCTACAGACTGGAATCACAAGCCCTTCGTGTGTCGTAGATGAACATTGGCCTGCAAATGTAACTGAAAAAGAACCAATTATTTCTCATGGTACATGCCACAACTTCCCATGTTACTTTAGCCCTGCTCAGGGAATTACTATAATGTTGGTTGGGCTAGTTTTGTTATGTATTTTGTCTTTGGGCTTGAAGGATTTATTTTTTTTCTCTTGCTTTCTGATTGTGTATTTGCTGCTGTGTGAACTCAATATATAAAGACATTTTAATACCTATTCTTTATTCATGTCTAACCCAGCAGGGTTATCAGATAAAGATGACACCTTCGTTTCTGATCCACTTTGCTTTGTTCCCAGTCCTTGTTGTTGGTGACCTTATTCTTCTAGGGTGGCTCATTGATGGCATTGGTGAAACTGCGTGTGTAGTCTTGCCAGCTGGGAAACTAATGGTAGATCTAGGCTTCATGACCAGATAGAAGATTGGGTATGTCTCTCACTTAAAGGGATTTATACTGGCTATTGCATCTGATGTTATTTAGTCTTAGTGTGTTTTTTGCTTCATTACCTTGTCAGTTGCTGTATGGTGTGCTATTCAGTTTATCATTGTTGTTACTAGGGTCACACTCCTTAATGTGAGTATGACAGTGGGTTACTTTTACTACAGTGCTAAGCAAACCACATTTTCTGATCCAAAACCTTTATAATCAGTGGTATGATTGGTATGATAGTGAGGTGAGTTGAGTCTGTCCCACTGTGCAGTGTACATCTGAAGAGCTAATTCAGTGTTTTCTACTATACCTAAGTTACCTGCCAGTAGAGATTGGCTGCTGGTGTGCACTTCTCCCATCCTCCCATCTACCCAAAGTGCACAGAAGCCTAAGAAGAGTAAACTGGTTACTAAAAACTGAACATACTTATGGCTGCTAAAGCCCTCCATGTCTAGTCTATAGAGAATAGCATAGGCGAAAACAAACACCAATAAGTATATCGTAACCAGTGACTAAGATTTGTATGATTATGGTATCTTCACTTAAGCCCTTAAATGAAAGTTCTCTAGGATCAAAAAGATGGGCTGAACATGACTGAACAGTTAATCGAATTGTTAAACTTAGCAATGTTAACTTTCAGTTCTAGAAATAAACACGTCTCAGTTGGGAGTAGAAAATATTCTGCTTGTTTGATGCCAACGAATACCTTGATGAGACAAAATAAGAATAAATTTAACAATTGACATTACTTGGCTTTAGTGTGTGCCCCAGAAAAATCTAGGTTTAGCTAAGAAACAAAGATAATGGAAGAACTGTAGAGGAATTATCATAAAAGCTAAACTAAGAATTATAGTGCATATAATGGAAAGAGTTTGGAGTTTGAAAACTTGGCTTCAAAAACTGGCATTGTCATGTACTGTGACTTGGTATTAAATCAGCAAATTTCTTTGGAACTGTAAAAGTTACACAAAATGGAAATTGTTATTGCTTTAATTATCTCTTCAGAAGAGAAAATAGAGTATCCTTTAATCTTGTTCTGTCTCAGATGATAAGCATGAGATAGCGGGGGGAACAGCATGCTGTTCATGTTTACCCCCTTAGCTCCATTCCTGTTTCACTAGTGTGCAAGGAAAATATGCATTCAGAATTGTATCTCTGAAATATTAAGGTGAAGTTGGTGAGTACATGGTAAGGCTTTAAACTGACCAACTCACTGTTGAGGGGGAAGATAATGTCACAATAAGATGGAAGACTAGTGATGAGTATTGTTTATTTTGAGGTTGACGGGGCATGACATGACTCCATTAATAAACCCAAGGAAAAGAAAGCCATACTTGGATTGTCTCTTAATAAATCACCCACTTGTAGAAACTAGTAGAACATAAATCTGTTGAGGTATTTATAAAGTATTCCAATAATGAGTTAAGAAAACACAGTTTGAGACACCAATAGTGTTATTGGTGGTTATGGTTGGAGAAGAGCTTTCTCGGCAAATGCAGGTTGTGATGATAAACAGAAAAAGATTGTTCTTCTACCAGAGATTTAGAACTGAGGGTGTTGCATGACTTAGCATACATAAATACAGCAGAGGCTTTAAGATGGAAAATGATTCATGGATATGATGCCAAATATGACTCAATATCACAGCAGTAGTTTAAAGCAAACTTGAAAGCCTGAGAATAAACACTAGTCCTATACATCAAGTAAAAGCAGAACCTGTACTAGGACGTGAAGAACTTTGAGATCAAAAGAAAGCCAAAACTCTAAATATTATGACAGCCAGTGAGTGCACTTTTTGAAGAATCAGATTATTTTTGTGAGAAGTCTATGAGGCAATATGAAACATATAATTCCTATATGTCATAATATAGGAATTCTTAATTCTTAACATAGAACTAAAAATAGTTGTGAAGTCCATATATTGAGAGCGGTGTTTTGAGGGATTTTAAGTCAGGCATGTGGAAAACTATTTCTGACAAAAGGGCTCTTGAACTCTGGAAGCCACTTCTAAGTACATCTTAAGGAAGTACCTTTAAAGTATTTACAGGTTGAATGCCACGTCTTCAGGGTGTCCAAATGTGTGTCTCACTTAGATATAGAAGGGTGATCAAGGTGTCCCTCCACTGAGAATATAGTGGCCCATTCACTATTTGATGCTGGGGATTGAACCCAGGGGCACTTAAACATGGAGCCCCCATCCCCGGCCCATTTTTTTGTTGTTGTTGTTTTTTGTTTTGAGACAGTGTCTCAGTAAGTTTCTTAGGGCCTTTTAAGTGGCTGGGGCTGGCTTTGAACTTAAAATCTTCCTGCCCCAGCCTCCCAGCTGTTGGGATTACAGGCATGTGCAGAAATGAGATGGTGCCTGGCGCGTAACACCTTTTTTATTATAGTTACCCCAATTCTTTAGTTTTTAAGGTAGGGTAAAAACAAGAATGTTTCTTCATCTTGGTTTTTGGCATCAGTCTTCACAGCCAACAGATTTGCTCACAGTATGCCATCAAGATGTGTTTTTTCCGAAAGTGTGAGAGGATCGAAATATCACTTAGGCAATTTTGAACCAGAGTAAATTTGAGAAGCGATCACTGACCTCATGCTCTGGGATGTCCTTTCTCAAGCACTTAGGAGAAACTTGATTCTAAATTTACATTTAATAGAAGAATTTAGTAATCATATACTGTCATGAGATCAATAATGAAATTCTCACCAGCATCTTTTGGTTTTAAAAAATTGCACCCTATGTTTCATAACTTTTTAAATAAAAATTTTCAACTGTGTAACAAAAATGTTAAAATAATGTTATGGTGTTCTTAGCTCCCAAATGCTAATTTGCATTAACTCTCTTTGTTTTATCACAGAATTATCCGTACCTCAGTTCATCAATCCATGTTATTTTTTTTGATGCATTTTAAATTGCAGACATCTGAACACTTCTAAATACTTTAGCATACATATCATTAGGATTCAGTATTTGCTCCCATTTTTCTTTTGATGTAAAATTAGCATACAGTGATATGTAAAAGACTTATATTTGCATCGCCTGGGTTTTGGCAAATGCATACTGTGCTATCAAGATATAGAATTATCACCATCCTAGAAAGTTCCCAGATGGTCCTCTTCCAGTCAATCCCTGTCCCCTCACCTGACTCTTAAAGGCAACCACTGTTCTTTTTTCTACCAGATTTCCTGTTTTTGTAAATAAAATCACACATGTACTCTTTTCTACAAGGCTTCTTCACCATAATGTTTGGGAGATTTCTCAATGTGTCTGGGTATTTCTAGTTTATTCCTTTTAGTTGCTGAGTAGTATTCCATTCATTGTATATTGCGGTTGGTTTATCCAGTTTCCTATTGGCTACCTGGGCTATTTCCAGGGTTGTCAATTATAAATAAGCTGCTATGATCAATCTTACATATGTCTATGTGAACATAGGTTTTCATTTTCTCTTGTGTAGATACCTAGGAATAGAACTGCTGGATCATAGGGTAGTTTAAAAAGAAACTCTACCTTTTTCCAATGCAGTTGTTCTGTGCTCTGGATTTTATATTTTAGGTGTGTAGAAAGGTAAACTATTTTTATGATCCACATTGAATATTAGGAGATGTAGGTTTGGGGGTAGAAATGACATTGTTCATTGTTAAATTTGACAGTTAGTGTCATTTGAGGGAAGCAAAGACCTATCTGCCCAAAACAACTCCTTGAGAGGTTCCTACGCCTGAAACTTTAGCATTAATTTCATTCTTTGAAAGGTTAAACCCCAAGAATGGTGATATATTAGCTACAAGAAAGAGCATTGTTTTTTTTTTTTAAATGTTACTAACTTTTGCCACCCGTTTTCAGTAAGTAAAATATGACTCTCATCATTGAACAGAAAAGACCATTTTTGTGGTGATGGTGGAGTGGGTAGTAAAATGTATGTGTACTACTCGGTCAGTCTCAGGTCCAGCAATGTGAGAGAGCCCCCGGAACTCCCTGTGACGGAAGTCACCCAGTGGTAGTCAGGAAAGCAGAAAACGGGATGGGAAGAATTCTACCTCACAGTTTTGCATAGGGGATAGCTATGCTTTTGCAGGACATTTTAGCCTTTAAAACCATATTTTCAATATTGTGTTTATATTCAGTACTACCCAGCTGTGGTTATTTCATACTCTGGTGACTTTCTTATCCACTGTGTTTTATCTTTCCTGCCCATTCTATTACATAGAGCATTTACCTGTATTAGCCTGTAAAATTATAATCGTATGTATGTTTCCAGTGCCCATGTTCAAAGATATTTGTGTATGGTTTATCTGATCTTTCCTATTAGATTTGTAAAGGCTGGGAATTTTGGCTTCTACTGTAAATCCTTATAATGCTCCACACATTGTAAATATGCAATAAAATGTTAAGAACTATAATGGCAGTGGATTTTGATATGTATTTCCTTGATATGTTGTCACTCTAAACAATAAGTTTGATTGCTGTTAATAAAGATTGTTCATAATATCTAGGGAAAATTAAATCACCCTGGTCTCTGCAACATTCTGATGAATTATGCTTTTTTGAATCTATTCAAATTATTTCTTGCAAAACTAAATTTTTTTTCTAACAGTGTTTTCTAAAATCTTTGACTAGAAACTGTAACATTTATTGTGAGATAATTTGGAATTTCAGAAGATGGAAGCTTCCCCTTCACTCTCCAACAGCCCCAAACCCATCTTCCCTCAGTCTTGACACAGAAATTCAGTGCTTTCTTCAAGTCCTGCATTGTCAAAAATAGGTAGGTTGTCACAATAAGTAGTGCTTAAATATTTTCTCTGTTCCTATCCAACCCCCGCCCCAGCCCTGTGCTGGTGATAGAACTTAGAACCTCATGTCTGATAAGCAGGTAATCTACCCCTGAGCTACATCCCCAGTCCAAGAAGTTCGTTTTTAAGACATAAAAGTGTGTGTGTATATTTGGGTATGGAGAAAGCATATTAGAACAAAGTTAGCTTTATCTAAAATAACAAGTACATCATATTCTATAATTAGTGGTAGCTTCAGAATGGCTATGAGGAATTTTGAGTTGCTGAATTTTTGTTAAGTTAGCATAAAAAGTTAAGTACATTTGTGTGGTAATTTAACACAAGCAAAATATGTATATAAAAATAGTCTGTCTTTTATTTTTATTTTCATGTTATAAGTTACAATGTCCAGCACATTTCTTGATTTCCTATTATACATTTGACCTTTAGATATTGGTTAAAACAAATATTGGGAGAAAATGTGAATAATTCAATAGCAACTCTCAGTATTCCCATCTTTCTAATCCATGTTGTTCTTGTATTTAGAACATTCTCAGAATAGAATAGAAGTACCACTCTACTGATTGTCTGATTGTCTACACACACAAACAGTTGCATCCATGGGGACATCCTATTCTTAATATCAGAACCAGGCTTTCCAGAATCTTCTCTTAGAATAAAAAACAATTATTAAAATACAATTGATTTCTTCAGCTACATTACAGATTAAGCCAGCTTCTTAGGATGACCTAGAAATCTAGCCAGCATTGACAATGGTACTGTGTTGCAAGTTGTGTACTAGGGACCTTCCAATAGAGTTTTAGAATATTTCTCATCCATTGTTCCCATTTATTGCTGCTTGGTTCCTAAGCAAATGTTTAGAGCCCATAGATACACAGATCTCTGGTACTTAAGACATGAACATAGATTGGTTTCCAAGGACCAACATAGTTCACTTGTAGCTCTATGTAGAACATGTATTCTACATCAGTGATGTCCAACCTCAATGTGCCTGTAAATCAACTCTCCAGTTGATCTACTAAAGTACAGGTTTTTGATTCAGTAAGTCTGGAGTGGGACCTGAGGTTCTGCATTATCAGCTAGGTTCTTGGTGTTGCTGATGCTGCCAGTCTGCAGGACACACTACTGCAAGCTTCTAGAGAATTCTTTATAAAAATTGATATATGGATTTTTCAAAGACATTATCCGATTTTTTTTTTCCAGTGCTAGGGATGGAATCCAGGACCTCCTTCATGTAAGGCAAGTGCTCTACTGCAGAGCTACACCCAGCCTAAGCATCTTCTTCTAAACTAATTTCCCTGAGTAGAAAAAGCAGAAGAGGCATTTTGGGAAGTATTCCTAAGGACCTCAGAAATTAAACATAGCTATGAAATTATCAAGTTCTGTAAGATAAACACATCCCACACATGGTAAATTTTATCAAATTAAAAACAGAGTAAAGCCTGAAATGGCATTTTCTACTATTATCACATGACTTGACTGATGGCTGTGGTCAACTGGAGAAAATTAATTCCTTTATGCTTTACAATTCTGCTTATGTATGAGAGTACTGAGTACTTCCTGTTGTAAAAATGTACCTTTGGTAATAAAGTTCAAAAAGTAAAAACTTTGCATAGTTCATCAGTGTGGGGAGCTTACAATTAATATATGATGCATTTCCTCTTTTTTATGTAAGACGATTATACTACCATTCAACTTTATTTACTGCCTTTTACAGTTAGTAGTTATATCAAAAATTTTCCTTTATTAAAATTTCCTTCAGTGGAAGTCAATGATTCTCAAACATTTGATGATAAATAGGTACCATAATTTATTAGACTATTTGGCAAAAATTTTAGTTCTTTTCTTTCTTAATGGAATTGTAAGTAATGCTGTGCTGAATATCCTAAAATTTGCCTTTCTGACTGCATCTCTCCCTTGGGTTGTGGAGATGGCCATGTTGTTTTCCAGGTTAGGCTCCCATCAATATCTAGAGTGCCTATCTTTGTGCTCTTTCCAGCACAAAGTGATATGTAAATATATATATATATATATATATATATATATATATATTTGTTTAGTTGTAGTTGGACACAATACCTTTATTTTATTTACTTTTATGTGGTGCTGAGGACTGAACCCAGTGCCTCGCGTGCTAGGCAAGTGCTCTACCACTGAGCCACAACCCCAGCCCACAAAGTACTATTAATAAACAAGCCTTTGCAAATTTTGGACAAACCAGTTTATATTTCTTTAACTTCCATTGAGGCTGAAAATGATGTAGCATTGTACTTCTCCTTTGGTGACTTATCAGTTGTTATTTAGTTACTATTTTTACCTTTTCTTTTGGAGTCCTAGCATTTTCCTTGTTTGTTTGAAGAAGGTTTTTATATAATAGTAATAATAATCTATACTTGTAGCAAGTATTTTTCCTAGTTGATTATTTATTCTATCTTTATTACATTTAATGATTAACTGTGTTTACATTTAACTCATATCCAGAGTCAATTTTTGGTGGGTTGAATAAGGTAATGATATAATATGGATTTCTCCAACTATCAAATGTTCTTTTTTAAAAAATATTTTTCAGTTTCCATTGGATACAATACCTTTATTTTATTTATTTATGTTTACATGGTGCTGAGGATCGAACCCAGGGCCTCATATGTGCTAGGTAAGCACTCTACTGCTGAGCCACAACCCCAGCCCCTCAAGAGTTCTTAATATCAATTACAGAATAATCACTGCCCCTCATGGATTTCTGGTGCTCTTTGAAACTATATGAGCTCTTCAGTCTTATGGGCCTGCTTTTGAGCCAACTGTTCTGTTGATCAGTCTGATTATTGTTCTGCTAGAATCCCACTGCTTACATTATTGCTTTAAAAATAAACAACAAAATTTTTTAAAATTTTCTTTTTTTGTAACATTACATAGAAATGGCTCTTTCCTACTGAATGCTTTCTCTCTCTCTCTCTCTCTCTCTCTCTGTGTGTGTATGTGTGTGTGTGTCATAGTAAATAAAGAAAACTCCATGAAGAATATAGATGTCAGCTTTAGGGAGTGAATAAAAAGGGTAATATACTTAGGGATGTTTGAGATAAGGGGAGGGAAGAAGCAGTATTTGTGGAGTTTGTTACCTGCACCGTACACAACATGGAACAAAACTGCAGAATGCAGAGAGGAAAAAATGCATGAGAAAAGAAGAACAGACAGTGTTAGAAAATAGCACAAAAACAAAGGGAAGGAGAAAATGGAGAAACAACTGAAGATCTGTGAGAAGGTAATGATTATTCAATTATTTATAGAGCATCTTTTCAAGTGCATATATTTACAGTAGCATATTTGCATATAAAATGCAAAAACACAAAACAAGGCCTAACCCATGGGAATAACAGACATGAAAAAACAAAATGACATATCAATATTGGTGAAAGAAGAAATAGAAACCTCAGACCCCAAACTAGCAAACCCCAACCAATTGTCTGTTGTGGTTGAATTGATGATCAAAGAATTTATAAGTGTAGAGTTTGCCTGGACTTTTCCTGAAATGGGTGCTGTATGTTTACTTTTTCAGTTTGATGAATTTGTACATATTTTTCTATAGTTATTCAAAATCAGATTTGCTTAAGCATGACACACAAATTGAGACATAAGCTTTGGTTGTGTGATTTACAGCCAGTGGGTCAGCAATCCTATTTTGGATGTCATGTTGGCACAAGTTAAGCCATATTAGGATTGTGATTTTAGGTAAGTTATTTAACGTATCTAGGTCACTTTCCTCAATAAAATGAGGTTAATCATAGAAATTGTTTCTCTGATAATGAGGTAGTTTATACAATTTTTAGCAGGGTAGCTGGCACATGATCTGTGCCTATTTGCCTTTTTTTTTTTTTTTTTCCCTGAAAGCTTCTGGATACCACCGTGTCAGGGAAGGGACTTCTGTGTCTTCTTCCTGATGTTTCACTGGTGCTTAAATCAATGGTTGGTTCATTAGAAATGTTCAGTAAATATATGTTGAAAAAGAAAATGAGTATTTTTGTGGATTCTAAAATGCCATTAAGTTTTTGTTGTGTTTGGTTTTTGCTCATTTAGCTCATGTTAGGGGTTGATGCAGAAACTCCCTTTCTTCATGTTCAGATTCCTCTTTAAATCAGACTCACCTAGAAGGAGCCAGGCATTGTCCTCATCAACTCCAGCGTTATTTCAAGAGCTTGCCCCTCATAGGGGTCTGGTTATCAACCAGGTAAGGAGGGCAGGGCATGGCAGGTGGAAAGTGCTCTGGCAGAGGAGACCCAGAGGGCACAGTAGGCTGGCACAAAAACAGTCCTCCCTAACTGTGCAATTCTCCATGAACTGGTTCTACTTTATTCTGCAAAATTTGCAAATCCAAATATACTTATGAGATGGGATTCTGGGGGAGGTTTTCAATAAAACACATGTCCATTATCCCGGAGCTTACATTCTAAACTAGAGAGCTTCCTTTCAGTTCCTTGATCTCAATGTTTTATTTAAAGTGAGTTTGATTCCATCCTGGGGTTTGACTGAAAATAACATTGCCTCAGCCACATCACTTATGCAGCCCTTCTAATGACTAGGAAGGGAAATTAAGGAAAATTTCCAGATCTTTTGAT